GAGAGAGAGAGAGAGAGAGAGAGGAATGACGGTTCTTCTTCCGCTCGGCGTTGCTCGTCTTCGTGTACAAAGCGAATTTTTGCCCGATTTTGCGCGTCGAGATCTCGAAGTATTTCTTGCGGAAAACCGGACGGAAGCATAACGACGATTCGCACGTGCAAAACAGACCAGATATAAAGCTTTACATTACGCTACACTTGAGATGCATTCCACACGTTATTTTTCAATTCGGTAATGACCGTTTAAGATACATTAATAATCTATTTCCTCCGTTTTATTCCTAATTCATTTCTACTTGGCTTTATGTCTATTTCCAGTTTAATTTCTATTCTCACTCAAATTTAATAATAACCATGCAATATCGCAATGAGTAGTGCATTAATCACATGTATTGCCGCAGCTCTTTTCTTACCACATTTATTATGCCATCAACTTATTCCGTCATGATTCCCACAAATGCATGATATTTTTCAAGATGAAATCTTCCAAGGAAGTGAGCGTAACAACTGCAAATAAATCCGCCTCCGCGGTGCAATATTGCTTTCGTGAATTTCTCCTGCAAGCGGTTAACCAGATAATTATCGCGACAACCTTGCGAAACAACACATGGAAACCCGAGCGCTACGTTTTCCACCGCCCGATTTCAAACTCCGTTCGTATTTCCACTGAGATCTTCCATCATCTGGTCACTATTATAAATTATCGCAGTCATCGATATAAAATATCGGTGATGCGATTCAATGAAATCCGCGTGCACGCGAACGACAGCATCGCCGGCTGCTTAAATTGCAAATGACGCCGCCACGTCGTCGGGACTGTTTGGGAATCAGTATTTTTCTTCTATTGAATTTATTATAGCTTATGCAAGAACCGGGAATAATGTGTCGGCGAGTCTTTATTTTGCAAGAAATAATGCCTCCGCTAATGCGCAAACTTCACCGCCGGGAGAATGTTACTTTTTTGGCATAATAAATGCAGACAAACTCGGACGCATATTTGTACGGTTTCGTGCATTTTTATTTCACGGTAAATTGATTATTTACGCGACTATTATTTATACGTGCTTGCCTCTATATAGTATAAAATATGTGTATATGCGTAAAGGTGCACACGTGATGACGTCAAGAACGACAACGACGCGGCGGTAAAGTTAATAGCACAGCAAAATAAGACGTTGCGGCGAATTTTATACAAATAAAAAAAACATCTCCAGACATGTCCAGAGTCGGTGCAAAACTTGTTTGCCCGTGTGAATTTGAGAGAACTAATAAAAGATCTATGGAAAAGATGACTGTAAATTATTCCGCGTATACATATCGTCATCACGATATATCCTCTGAATATTTTTTCTTTTGGTTCAAGTCCTCATTTAACGACATCTCCTATTCCGAGCAATTCGCAAAAAATCTGCGTAACTTCTTACGACGGGTCGCACCTACACGAAATCCCCATCGCGAGACTCAGCAGAGATCTCGTGTGAATAAGCCGATCTCCCGAACTACTAATTGTCTTCCAATCTGCGAAGAGGGATATCCCAGGATGGAAAAAGTGTGAAACGCTTCGTCGAAACGAGCGGACCTTGATGACCGAGTCCGCGCGGTCGCGTCCGTGACGGCGGAACTATTGTCGTTCGCACAGAATCTGACTCTCTGGATCCGGGAAGTCGCCCGACGTTGAAAATGCATTAAGACTGTTAGTACGGATACGTCCTGCTTCCAAAATACAAGGTTCCGCGGTATCCTGGACGAGATTACGTTTCGCGCCGGGTTTTACGCAAGAGAATAACCGTGGGGGATCCTGAACGGAAATGCCGACGAGCGCGACGAGAGGCAGAGAGCGAGAGTGGGGGCGAGCGAGAAAGAGATGGTCAATTATTATCCGACGTAAAATTCACGCGTATATAAGATGTTGTCCCGTCGGAGAGCTTCAGTCGCTTTTGACTCTCCGACCATCGAGACATCGGTGGGGCAGGCAAAACAAAAAGGTCAGCCAGTGTGTGACGGAGGAATCGGTTTATCGTAACAAGTGAAAGCACCATGAGATTGTTGGAGTGTTTGGTGCCGGTGGTGGTGCTGCTGTTAATTAGGGACTCCAGCGCGAGACCCGGTGAGTTTTCGGGACCGGGTGATTTCCCCGTTTCCTATTGTCCCGCGACAATTCGAGTGCCCGTCAGATTTAGTTAGATTGTCAAGTTTGCTCGCTGATATTTGTACACAGTGACGACACGACAGCCGGCTCGAACTGTGTAAATATGCGATATTGATACAGTTTTTCCACATGTGGGATTTTCACGATCCGGCAATCGTCGTAATTCAAACGTTTGATTAATTATTATTTAAGGGAAGAAAATAAATTAATATTTCTCACGATCTTGATTGAATTTACAGTATTTACTTTTCAATTTACCAAATTTTTTTATTTTAGTATTTATAACAAAAAAAAGTTAGATTCAAGTAAATAAGTATTCCAGTACTTCTTAGTAAATTTTTACTTGGATCACGTAAGTATTAGTTGATCCAAGTAAAATTTAGCACTTTTAAAATTAGCATTTTCTTTCTATGTACACAAGCTTGAAGAAATATCGATCGTTCTCTAACGTAATTAATTACCAAATAAACACGTAATTAATATTCTCCAAGTATTATTCGCGATTTTGGACATACCGACGTAGTCGGAGAATGAGAACTGAAATGTTTACAAACCTCAAGCTCGCATGATACCTAAAGAAACACAGACAGAATCTTCTTCGACATGCGGTTTTAACCGAAATCAGAATTTTAATTTGATCACGACAATATGGACGAAAAAATGAAAGTTGCGGAACACGCGGAATATATTTGAGATAAACGTTACTGCTGGATATTTGGAGATTTTGATCGGCATTTTGTGTGAAGGTCTGTTAGGCAATTTAGCTGCCGGCGGTATCGGTCTGCTGGACCAGGGTTTCGGACTCTTGAAATCCAAGGCGGACAGCTATGCCACTAGCAACGCTCAGTCCTTAGGCGGAGGTTTGCAGCTCGGCCCTCTCAGTTTCGCCGGCGGTTTATCTTCAGCGTCGGCTCAGTCGTCGGCGTCGGCGAACGCCGTCGGCAGCGGTTCGGCTTCGGCCTCGGCGAAAGCGGACGCTCAAGCTCACGGTGGATACGGCGGATACGGCGGCGCCAACGCGAACGCACAAGCATCCGCGAACGCTAACGCACAAGGTACGCGCGGAAGGAGAATTCAATCGATACGCTATTAGTAACGTCTTAATGACGTCTCTAACATCATTAGAACCGTCATTAGACGTTCACTTTGCCACTTGCCGTTGATACATTGAAATTTCCTCGGCTGCACTTGTTTTTCTCGGCGGTATTCTCTCATTACGCTCGTTCATACATTGAAAAGTTCACTCTTTCGAGCAAGAATCGTTGGAACGTTAACAAGTCGCATGCTTTCAACGTAGGTTCCACGGGTTATTATCCCGGCGGTCCTCATCACGGTAATGGCATGTACAACGGTTATCGGCCAGGTTACGGGGGCTCCCAGTCCGGCGCAAACGCAAACGCCAACGCGAACGCTAATGCCGCCGGCAACGTCCAAGTCATTCCTATTGATTCTTCTTATTATCCTCAACCTTATCCCCACCGGGCGCAGGGCGCCGGCAACGCCAACGCCAATGCTCAAGCGAACGCAAACGCGGCTGCGAACGGTAACGCGATCCCCGTCCGTTACCCTGGTGCCACCTATCCCGGGAGAGGGACTGGTCAAATAGAGGTAATTCCCATCACGATCCAACAATCCAAACCGATGCCACCCGTGTACCAGCGGCCTCAAATCCAACCGATTCCCCAAGGTCCAGGTGACGTGATAATTGTGGTCGAAGAACCCGCGAAGACAAGCCCTCATCGTTATCACCATCGCCGACCGCATTATTACGGTAAACCGAAGCAAGAGCCGGTCGGGATCGTCGTCATCGAGGAACCGTCTGGTCCAGGTGATACTTCACGTTCGATCCAGCCACGATTGTTGTCATTAGTGTATCGTGTGCACGAGCGGATCGGATTCTAAGTCCAGATCTACGACAGATGTAACAAGCTTTTAGCTTTTTATTCTGAGGGTTTGCGTCCATGATGCTAATCAGTGCTTGATCTGAGTTGTTGGCCGGACATAAAATTTACCGGAAATTACTGCAGAATTCCTAACATCTGCAGTATTTTCTAGGATTATATCCTTATATATCTCAGACCTTCTTATGTCCTGCCAAAAAATTCGGATTGTGATCCAGCATCGTGGATAGAAAACCTAAGCAATAAAATGTAACGTAATTTCTAACAAAAGAAGCTTCCCGTGCTGCCAAAAATTGTAGTAACATTTAAATCTTAGGAATTACGACCGTCCGATAGCGTTGAGAACGCTTTCTGCTATAGATTACGTTACGATTTAGTGCTTAGAACAAAGAGACTAAAGGCTTACAACACTTATTGTAGATCCGGATTAATCAAGTTGCACTCTAATCGGTGGCGGTAAACCCGACAAGAAGTCCGCGAATTTACAGATATTCGTGTTATCATCTCGGAGACGTCTTGGACAAACGTGAAATATTTTGACGGCGGTATAATTGCGTCTAATTGACTGCCCAGCACTTTTCGTGTATATCTGTTGCGTGTATATCTCCCCACGTGTCTTAACACGAGCACGCGTGATATTTATCAAGTGATAATTGGAACGATACTGATTTATGGACCGCGGTATTTCGAGATTTGCTCGAGATGATACTTCTTTCTCCCTTCCGTGTGATTAATGCGTATAACGCACGAATTTCTCTGTATGCCATCTCTAATTCCGATGTTTTCGTGGCATCTCGCACACATCTCGGACTGTGATCCCAATTCAAAGATACGTAAACTGGAGAATATCTCCGCTTCTCAATGTACGAACAGGAGAGAAAATGCTTTCGAGGAAAGCCAGTGTAGCGAGAAAACTTCAATGTATCAGCGGCCCAGATAGCAAAGTGACGTCTAATGACGTTTTAAGGACATCTTATTGACATTATTAAAACGTTATTTGACGTGTTTTGCTATTCGGCGGGAATATATAATGAGACCGCTGTCGAAAAGAAAAATTATTATAATACACGTGTTTGCACTCCGGTCGATTCGAGACTCGAGTACGCCGCTTCGCGTTGTGTTTCCTAATTAGCACTCTTCTCCTGGCATATCATTCCCGTAGCCAACGGCAAGCGAAAGACGAGAACAGCGAATAACGCACCTATTTCTCCTGCTTACCTCATCGTAACTGAATGGAAGAGGCACGGAAAACGAAGAATCGGACGTTATGCGTTTCAGTTAAGACTGAGAGCATCAACTCTGCGTCTCTCGTACACATGTTCTAATGCACTGCCTTTAACGTATTATATGTATCCGCATGTTTCTATGTTCCATCATTTGTAGTATAATTAGTAATAGCAAAAACATTCCCGTTGACTGGGGATTAGGTGAAAACTCGATTGCAGGCACAGATTTTCGTGCAAGATTTTTTACTCACTCGCGCTCTCATGTTTCCGCTATTATGGTTTAAATTTAATCGACGATTAACTCAGTGGAATTGACAAATCACATTGGTCGGTTCAGCTAATCTAAGTTCAACAAATGGTCAATGCGATTGGTCAATCCCGTGAGTTAGTCGTCGATTAGATTTAAACTACGATGTTAGAAACAGCCATCAGTTGCCTTAACCAAGTTTTAATGCGGCTGAGTGTTGTCAGCCGTGCAAATAGATATTTCTTATCGCCGAGTTTTCATACGGTCCCTACACTCGGAGAAAAATATAGTAACACAGATGACAAAACTATACGAGGTGACGACTGTGCAACTATACATTATAAAAAATTATTCCCCTGAGGAACAAAGAAGTTTCCCTTAATATTTTTCTAACATAGTGCTGCTTATTTCAAATAATTTATTGCTCGTGGCAACAATTGTCTAGATGAAACTACAAAAGAAATGCGTTATTTGACGTAAAGATATTCATCGCTTGAGAAATCAAATGATCCTGTTTGCTGAATCAAACATTCGTCCGCTTGCTCCAAAAAAAATTCGACAAATTCCAAAAGACAAATTCGGAGAAATTTTATCGAACCCAAAGAAATTTCTCCCTCCGTATGTATATATTTTTCTCCGAGTATATTCAGTTGTGGGAACTGAGTTTTTCTTCCGTGTATAGTATCGATCACACGAGTCTGATAATGAAGGAAAACTGACGATTGACATTTTTCACAGCCGGCAGCTTTGGAAACTATCCGGTGCAAGGATTCTACCCGGGCGGCGGTCTCGGCGTCGGGCACGCCGGCGTCGGTCACGATCATGATCACGATCACCATCACGGTCACGGCCACGGCCACGGCCACGGAATTCGTGGCGGCAACCCCTTCTTACCCGGTGGCGCAGGCTCAAACGCCAACGCCAACGCTAACGCCAACGCTAATGCTCAAGGAGGCGTAGGAGGATTTCCGCAGGGTGGCGGTTACCCAGCGGGCCCCTCAGTCCTGATCACCCCAACCGGGAGCGGAAACCCTTTTCTGAACGGCGTCGGGCAGTCCGGCGCCAACGCGAACGCCGGAGCTGCGGCCAACGCCAACGCTAACGCCGGCGGGCAAGGATCGGTGGGCGCGCACAATCCGTTCCTCGAGGACGGGTCTGTCCACGTGGGAACACCGGGAGTCAACATCCACAATTTCGGCGACAAGCCGGCGATTGAGATCCACAATTTCGGTGACAAGCCCAAGGAGATCCCCACCAGCTACCCGGGACAATATCCGAGTTCTTACCCGGGCGGATCCGCAGGATCTGGTGCGAACGCTGACGCTGGAGCCGGCGCTGTTGGAGGTGAATACGGCGGACCGATCAAGCAGGGTCCCGTTTTCGGCGACGGAGGGGCCGTGGTCGGCAGCGGCGGTTACGGAGTTCCCTCCGGCGGAATTTCCGGCCCGAGCTACGGAGGCGGACACGGCGGTGGTTCGGCCGGCGCGAACGCCGGGGCGATCGCCGGCGCGAACGCGGGAGCCGGTGCCGGCGGAATCGGCGGTCACGGGGGAATCGGCGAAGGCTCGTACGGCGACGGTCAGACCATCGGAGGATACGGAAACAACGGTGGAGGAGGAAGTAGCTTCGGTGGAGGCGCGACAAATGCCGGCGCGAACGCGGGGGCCGCCGGAAGTGGCGGTGTTTACGGAGGATCCGGCGGTCAGGGAGGTCACGCAGGATTCGGTGACGGTAGCGGTTCCTTCGTCGGTCACGGAATCAACGGACAAGGAGGCTCCCCCGGAGTGAGCTCCGGACACGGCGGTGCGGGCGCGAACGCCAACGCCGACGCCATCGCTAACGCCAACGCCGGCGGTACCGGCGGGAGTCTCGGTGGATTCGGGGGCGGCTTTAAAGGCGTCGGACACGGCGGTCACGGCGGATACGGCGGAGGTATATTCGTGTATTACACGTAAATCTTTGTTCTCGCTTTATGTGGCCATTGGATTCACCCGCAAATCCGCTCGTTCGAATTAACATTCCGTCCTTCGCAGAAAACAGATCGGCATCGACTCGAGACTCGTGTTCTCGTATTGTAAAGAAAAATTCGACATAGTTTCATGAGAAATAGCATATTCTTGTTATCCAAGAACGATTTCTACGAAGAGGAAAAAATATTGGATAGAGAAAAAGATTTCTGTAGACATTTTGATTTCTTTATGTCAGATAACGTATTTCTTTTCGTACGTATTTTCACACAAACATTACAATGGTTGTCACAAACAACAAATTATGTGAAAAAAGTAACACTAAAACTTTTCGAACTGATATAATTCTTAGTTCGGAAATATCGTTGCTTTCATCCAATATTTTTTCCCTCGATTCATGATAATTATCCATGAGTAACGAGAATATGATATTTTTGCTGAAATTGTATAGAATTTTTGTTTATTAAAGTTTTATTTTCGTATAAGATTATATATACTTGCTTAAATATGAGATTACGAGTCTCGAATTAATACCATACGGATACAATCTTGTATCCGTGTAATCGTGTAATCATGCGATTTGGAGCATAACCTAAGCCCACATAATCGTCCTTTCGTCGAGACCAGCGCGACTGACTTCTTCAGACGCGGTCAGACAACCTGGTGCAGAGCACGACACTTTGAGATCCGCATCGACGTGTTACTTCTTCCTGCCTACCGTGCAACTAACGCACTAAATTAACGCGTACGTGTTGACCAGCACAATTCATCTCCTCAATCAATCAATCGATCAATCAATCGCCTAGCCGCCATTCTTACGCAACACTCGGCGACGCTCGTCTCCGTCACGTAACATCTAATTATATGTAAATATTCGCGCGCCAATCGACCATCGGAAACAAACGACGCGCTTTTCCTTGTAATCTCCGGCGCGCCGTTTATCCTGCACAACCCCGCACCGGAGGTGGATGTCATCCTACACCACATCGCCATTTAACTCACCGAATTCGCCTGGCTGAACGACTCAACGCCACCGTGTCCATTTCCTCCACCTCAAGTCGTATGATCACGAGAATCGGATGATCCTTGAGCCATGCATAATCGAACGAGAAAGGACAATGGAAGCACTCTGCCAGCGAGGATTCGATCGGAAGCACGTTCATTTCACACGTGGGCTACGCTTTCATGTGCCTTTGTCCCGATACTCATCGTAATCGAGCTGTTCGTGTTCACTTTCACAGACCTGAGCGCCGGCACCGAGGCGACAGTGGCGTCCATGGCGGAAAATATCGCATCCGGACTGATCGTAATTAAATGAATTCCATATTCTTCCTGCCGCAGGCTCAAACGCCAACGCCCAAGCGTCCTCGTCGTCGAATGCGGTCGCGTCCGGAGGTGGCGGTGGCTCGACCAAAGCCGATGCCTCGTCTAACGCGTACACCAACGGCGGTTCGGCATCGGCGAGCAGCTCCAGCAAGGCGTCTGCTTACACCAACGGGTCGGGATCAGCAAGCGCGAACGCGGATGCGCAAGCGTCGGCGGGATTGGGATCGAAGAGCTCGGCGTCGAGCCACGCGTCAGCCAATGTCGACACCAGGGACATGTTGATCTTCAGCTAATCGAGACAATCATTGTGATACCGAAGCGGATCGCTGAGCTTCCTCAAGAGGATCCTCCGTCCGGCCGCCACGAACCGCACATAATACTCCGCTTTTCGTCTTTCGGTGTTCCGTAAAAGCGAGTACAGTTGTTGGTATGAGTACGACGCGGATGTCGATCGTGTGACTTTTACCCTAGGGTGGAAAAGTGAAGATTTAAAGAATGTTTTCGAGATGGAAACTTTACTCTTTTCACGAGTTCACGCCAGAGGAGAGACCTCCTGAGCGTCGGTCATGAATCTTCTTCTCTGGCGAACTCGTGAAAGGTGGACATTTTCTAATTCGGAAAAATTTGGAAATTTTCACTTTTTCCTGAGACGGAAACGTGAAAACTGAACATTCCAAATGTGCACTTATGTCGAGCCTGGCATTTCATAATTTTTCGTGCTCGACCAAGATTAAAATACTTAAGAGGAACGCTTTTCATTGGATGTAAGCGGGAAATATAAAATGTGCAGACGAAATCTTCTTCGATTGAACTCTCTGGGTGGACCACTCTTATGCTCATCCGTTTTACGACGATCGGTATGATTTTAATATACGTGAATTTGTACATTTTTTCTAAGCCGGTAACATAGTGCAGTATTTAGAACAGCACTTTTAAGACGCCTTAATTTAATACTTCTTTCTCTCTCCCTCTCTCTCTATATATATATATAATGTGTATTTATAAGCGTATTTTTAACTTATACTATTGCGTGTGCTTTCGATGCGACATCGGAAGTGTGCAGATCGCCTTTCGTGAACTCTATAGATCTGTGATTCGCGCGAAACTCGTCAATGTTAGCGTTAATATATAATATATAATAATAGTAATAAAAATAATGTGCAAACTACATCACATATGCAAATCTGATCGATCGAACTCAAGTTCCGATCCGAGGAGCTGCTGCGACTTGCCTTATTGTCTAAAGTTGCCGTCTGCCAATGTTGCGCTCTCGTGCAATGCGTTAGAATGAAAGAGAATTTCGCACCGACCGCTGCTTCAGATCTCGAGGAATAAATGCGATCTCCGTCCTGCCACTTGTAAGGATAATTCCTGAGGAACGCCAGGAGCGCCGAGTATTCCTGCATCTTCGTATTTGCAACCTAGCGAAATTGGAGGGGCGCGACGATTAACGTCGGTGATATCTTCTTCTTCTCTCTCTTTCCCACCCCTTTCCTTTGTTTCTATTCTCACGACATCGGGCGTCTTTCGAAAACAACAGGGATAAAAACTCGTCGAACTTGTTTCGCGAGTGCGCGAACGAGAAAAACGGAAGAGAGAATCGCGAAGAGACGCGCAGAGAAAAATGAGGAAGACCGATAGAGAGAGAGAGAGAGAGAGATATGCACTGTAGGAGGATCGATCGATCAATCCGTTTATTCGTTCGCCACGTATGTGGGATCCCGCAAATTCTTCGCGCTAATCTCGCGATTAATGCGTAATTGCCGATAATTGTTTTTTATGCCGCGCATATAATTTATTCAGCGGCTTCGCGGAATTATCGTCGATTATCACGCGTTATCGCGCAAAAATATGCGCGTGCACATAACGAACTCGACGTATTTTCCCCTGTGTGTTTCGCATTTTATGTACTCTTATGTAATATATTATTGCGCGACGTGTGTATGAGAATGCGCATGTGTAAAAGTTTAATAAAGTTTGTGATTTCCGTTTCGATAGAATCGCATCAGCGTTCTAACGAGCTGCCCTGTCTTCGTCTTATTTCTCATTTAAATCTCATTTCAATTTTACCTAGAGCTATCATCGCATTATGGATCCCGAGAAATTTGACGTAATTTATTAGAGACTTTGCTGTGATCGCGGCAAGTCAATTTCTACGCACTATGAATTTATATTAAATATTGTCTGTCTATAACTGGCGATACGTAACGATCGCGAAATATGTTAATATAATTTTCAATCGAAAGTAATAGAAACGGGACGATGAAAAATCAACGCGGAGCAAAACACGTAATGAATCGTGCATGCAACATTTATCATGTTTATCACGACTTGATATATTACGCACAATGCGTAATAAATTTTGTCTAACGCCATCAGTCTGTCTTCTTTACATTCGATCAGATTTATGACAATGATTTATTGCTAAAGTTAATTTTATTGCTAAAGTTAGTTTAATTTTAAAGGTAATTTTCATGGAATACGATTTACAAATATCCAGAAGGCAAAATTTCGCCTGACATGTTTAATTGTAATGAGATAACAGATAAGAAATATAATTTCATTTCATTCGAGCGTTTTAGATATATATTAACTGCGGAGATCGTGTTTCTTTGACATGTGTGTGCGACGAACATATTGCTCCTAACGAATGAATGGAAAGGTAAACGACCTCGAAGCCAAAGCGCCTATTGTGCAATTCGACAAAAGCCGAGAGTCTCTTCTTCCGCCTTTTTTTATTATAAAAATTGGGCGTCGAGAATTTGAGTCGCGTATATAAATAAATCAAGGTCTTGTAATACATTTCCCACATCTTGCAACATATTTCCCACGTATCTTTCCTTATCGCTGATGAATAATTAAAAATGCGAGAGTGAGCTGCTCACCTTTAGCGGGATAAAATTTATGTAAATGAATAATCTTGCAGCATTCAGATTCTCTGCAACCAATGTTTAGAGATATCTTCATTCTTAAGCGATTTTTAAATACCACTCGCGCGCACCTCGGATCATCATGGAAACAGGTAATAATAACTATTATCATATTTCCCGATTACCGCCGAGTAAACCTCTCCGAGCCATTTCATACGTCTCAACTCGCGAGTATTATTACACGTAGTTGTGAAGTTCTGTCATTTTCTTTCGCCATTTAACATTTTTCAGACTTCCATAACTGATTTGCACAATTAGGAATTTACATTCTTCTCACGCTGGTTAAAAATCTTGTGATAAAAATATATATATATAATGTTATTAACGTTATATTACACTAATATTGTGTGTACATGGGACGAAAAGAGAGTCTATTTCAATTTTCAGATTATTTCCTTCTTCCAAGAAGACTGAGAAGAATATTCTGCGGAGGATCAGTTTCTTGTGCAAGCACACGTTGCTTTGGGACGTATGTTCGGAATCACATTGAGGTCCATTAACGTCAGGACCCGCGTGTATGCATACTCATATTTATCTCCGGTCTACTTCCGGTCGTCCCTGAAACGGAAGGTCGTCCACTCTCGGAGGACTATCCTAGCACTCTCGGTTACTGACGTTACGACATTACGGTACCCTCCTTGAATTTCGACGGTGAAGGGATTTCCTATAAAAGCGCACGTAGCGAAAGGTCAGCTCTGATTCGTTTTTCAGGCGTGCACCAAGCAACAGCGACACGCCACGATGAGGAGAGTTCTGCTTTTAATTGCAGTGCTGAGCGTAATTTCTCTGAGAGAAACTTCCGGCAAACCGACGGAAATTGCGACGAGTTCCGACACGCTGATCCCGGATCCCGTTGCTCTGACTGGGAGCAGCAATCTGTCGGGAACAGGTCGGTGCACGTATAATTATATACAATTAATTATATTTAAAATAATTTACGTAATTATCAAAAAAAATATTACCCGTAAATATTAGACGTATTACTGAAAGGGAATACTTTTATTTAAGTGAATGAAGTCTGTAATTAATTCATTAATAAATCAATTAATTATGGCTTATTTATATTATATAATAATTAATCGAAATTAACTGTAAGTTCTTAATGTGAGAAGTTACGGCATCGATTTTGATATTATTTAAATTCGTGTAATCTCGTGGAAAATAAATATATGTTTTTTCTAGATACTATGCGAAAGCAAAGGTCGCCGCAATACGGTTTATTAAGCGATTATGGTGACTATGATGGTGACTCCGATTATGATGATAGCTCACGTCATTTCCTCTCTGGTCACAAACGAAAATTTCATAAGCCGCACAAGCCTTTCGGCCTCATCGGAGGACACGGATGTCGCGGTTATGACTGCGGAGGGTACGTAGTTATAATGATTCTTTCGTAATAACAATTACAATTATTCGAACAATCGTTAATAATTATGAATTTTTGATAATTATAAATACTACAACTCAGCCAAAGTATTCTTCTTCGTAGAACACTTGAACTTCAAGTGTTCTTGTCTATTTTGCCTGAAACGCCTGTCGGTGAAAACGATGATTCATTCATTTGACAAATTCAGGGATATTTAAGGACGATAATTCAACGCGAACAGCTCGCGGAATCGCGAATATCCGAAAGAGATACGCGAGAGAAGTACAACCGTCTTCGCATTTTTTGCTTTTCGATTCACGCAGATACGGCGGGCATCACCAAGGTGGGCAAGGAGGTTCCTTCGCAACAGCATCGGCAGGATCAGTAGGCGGAGGCGAAGGTCCTTACGGCGGTGGACACAGCGAGGCGAACGCGCAGAGCGCAAGCTTCAGCTTCGGCCCGTACTCGGCCACGTTCAGCGTCGCTCAGTCCTCGTCAGGACGCAGAGGACTCTAAACTCTCGCGAAAGTGAGCATTCTTAATTAGACTACCATTTCACTCGCGTTCCGATCGGCCCGTGAAATACCCTCGCGACGCGTCCCGTTAACCAGTTGACGCAATTTATTGAATCAATTATTTATTAAATCAGCTAACTTATTTATCCAGCCATTATCCAGCCACTAGAATAAGTGAGCGTTACATTACTGGCTAGTAGACGTTAGACATAACTTTACTACCTCGTGGCTGCACACCCACGAGGGTTCAATTTCCCCTAGAGATCCTGATTGGTTCTTCAGCTAAAGTTCACGTCTCACGGCTTTTACGGTTATACGGCGGTTCGTGTCTTTAAAATCCAAGGAGATGCTGCCGCATCACCGTCCGTCGCGTCCGTAACATCCGCGAAGAGGCTCCACGGCCGCCCACGAAATCGCAACCGGGCTCGCCCGAGGCGGAAGGTCAACGAACCCGGGCGGTCGGGTCCGGGAATCCGCGATTCGCATTATATTGCCGCGATCTCGCAGAGTACCTCCCCCTCTCTCTCTGCTCCCTCTGACCCCTCCGTCCGCGCGCTGACCGATCGCGCGGAAGAAACGGGCCCGAAACATCTGTCCGGCGCGGACCCGGGAGAACCGTGCGGGTCGAAGACGCAACAATCTCCTGCCGGCGCAGCACCGGGTACACGGGCGTATTTCACTTTCGCCCGGGTATGTATACGCGCGCGTGAGCGGCGATTACAGGCGCACGTCGTGTGTGTGGGACCTGCCCGGAAAGAGGCAGCCGAATGCAAGAGAGAGCCGTGCATTCGCGGCATTGTGCCATTGAAGGCGAGGCGCGGCCCTTTCGGGGTACGTGTGAAAAAGAATGAACAAAGGGGAAATGAATCTTCTTGGTTCTCAGGCGATCGGCAGACGGCCAGACAGACGGATTAACTCGTTTTAAAGGGACGCCAGACGCTATATTGTTGTTTTGGGCCCCGTAGCTACGACAACGACGACAACGACGATCACGACCACGACCGACCACGGCGACGACGCGAGGACGACGACGTTCTCTCTTTCTCTCTCTCTCTCTCTCTCGCGTGCGCGCGTCTCCTCCCGGAGAGTCGGCTCTTTCGCGCGGCGCGTCGAACCGGTCTGTTTTCATCTCTCGAGATGCACCTACACGCGAATCGGAGTGTCGATTATGCACACACTTGCGACGCTTGGACATGCAGTAAATGGCCATTGTTCGTCCGGAGGGAGTCAGAGGGTTGGCCCGTCTCCCCGGGACTCGGCCGAGCGAGTTTAAATCGGGTCGTTCCAGATTGCCGACGTAGAAAATGCGCATGGCGAAATCGATTACGATTTTTAGACCTCCGTTCCCTCCCCGCCGAGTCCCCAGACGACGGGCCCTCGCGACGCTCGACTTGCCGTGTGTGTGTGTGTGTGTGTGTTGCACGTCGGAGTTATTTCGGTGCGACTTTTAAATCTTCTTACGCCGAGACTTCTCCACGCGCAACAGATCGTTCTTAGAGTTCCGCTCGTTTCTACCGTCGTGATTTATATCTAATCGACGATTGACCATGATAGTATAGAAAAAATAATCTTAGATCAATGGCAGAGATAAACGATAATATTATAATATTAACATATATTCTTAGAAAATGTTTAATCTTGAATTGAGTGTAACACTTGTACCAATGCAGATTCAATCGAATCAAGACTAAAAATCTTCTAAAAGCCAGTTTCACAACCTTCGATTAACTTAACCGACCGGTTAAATGTCAACTGTGATTGACTACTTCTGATCAGTTCTGCTTAACGACAAATGCGATTGGTCAGTTCCAATGGAATAATCGGCGGATTAAGTTAACCGGAGATCGTGGAACTGGCCCTAAGAAGATTATAAAATGTAACATTCTTGCTTATTTATGAGAATACCTATTCTTGATTAAAATTAATTTTTTTCTCCGCGTAGGAGCAAGCATTAGAGCGGTCTTTGATCCTATCTGTCGCGCGTTCGTTATTATTCGCGTTCCGCGAGTTACATTGTAAAATCGCCGGAAGACGCTTCGCGTAGGAGCCCGACCGTAATAACCGAGATTACTGCGGATTTTTCTTTTTTATTTTGCGTAACTTCGTTAAACGTTTCATTAGCGTTACGTTGTTATCGAGAGACAATGACGCATCCGTCATAATTCGATTTTAACCGTATACAATTTGCGCTACGTCGACGGAACCTCTTGCGCTATGCAATCGGCTGCGGAATTGCCGGAGGATAACTTCATTTCATTAAACGTGACTCATCTGGGCTTGAATCTCGAGTAGAGAGTACAAAATTCGTACTTTCCGGCGCGTCTGTCCTTCCTTCCAGAAGGATGCGGCTACCACCGGCTTGCGTATGCAACTAACCGCTTCAATTTCGAATAAATTAGCGCAACTTATGCCCGATGATTCCGTCGTTGCGGTTTAAATCTAATTGACGGTTAACTCGACGAAATTGACCAATGGCATTAATCAGTTCAGCTAATTGGCCAGTGCGATTTGTCAATATTTCATTGTGTTTATCATCGATTAGATTCAAGCCATGATTGCGGAGACGCGCATGATTCGTCACTTTGAGATTAACGGCGCTCGATTCCTGATTCTCTTTGGAATCTTCTTATTTTATCACACGTACTATTATTTATCATCATTATTTTCCCAATGATTATCGTCATCGTCACGCCACTGAAGGCGAGTAAACCGGTAACGAGTAACTCTCTGTTTTCCCCGCAGATCTCTCGGAAGCTGGGCGGATTCACCCCGGGAAGCACCCCTAATTTATTTCCCCGTCATCGGGGCTCCGCCGGATCATCGTGGGCCCATTGTTTACAAACATTCTACGTCACTAGGCGCAAGCAAATAAGCCTAACCGCGTGCGTGTCAAAGCAGGACGAGCCACCCCCTTGCCTCTTGAGATTTCCTGAGAGAGCAAGTTCCCTTTGTCCGCATGCCAGCCCCACACACACACACACACACACACATACACACGCACCAGATGTTCCTCAAAATAAAACCGACGAAATATCGCGAGGTAACGCCGCGCGATTCGCGCGCGAGTGACGAGGACCGAGGACAAGTCCGGGCGCGGGAGCGACAAGGACGAGCGGAAGGATCGAGGAACGACGAGGAGGAGGAGGAGGACGACGAAGACGACGACGAGGACGAGGAGGAGGAGGAGAAGGAGAGGTGAGGCCGCGAGACGGAGGGTAAAGCTGGATAAACGGCACAAAGGGATAGGAAGCCAAAAGGAGGAGGGCCCTGTAAAGAGCGAAGGGCCTGAAATCGTGATCCGAAAAGCCCCGTGCAATGACCGGACGATCCTTCGCACACGCGATCCTCGCTGGATCCTCCGATTCACGGTACTCTTCTCGTTCTCCTCCCTCTATCTCCCTCCCTTTCCTTCGAAGAGAGCCACCTCGAGAAGGAGCGCTGCCCTATCGAGGACGCGCTCGTCGAAGGGCGTCGTGAGCCTATTTATAGCGAAAGAGACTCTTTCCGAGTGATCTTCCAATTACATTAATTATTTATAGCGATATATCATAAGAGTAATCTGTAAGAAGAAAGAACGATCCTCTCGGGGAGAAAACGGAGCAGACTTATGCAAATTTATTTGCGTAAATCGACGGGTCAGTTATACTTTACTGCACCGCGTTCGTTGAGAAAATGAATTCTCCTCTCGGTGCCATTTGCATGAAATACAAATTGGAGATTGTATTATGCTTGTAAAAGGGCGACTGCGCGTTTCGCTGTTAGATATAGGACGCGCTTGAGATTTAATTTAATCGTATGACAGGAATAAATCGTCGCGACCGCGTTCCTTACGCGCGTTGTTGCGCGAGTCTGCAGAAATCTACTTATTTATTTTCCGTTTCATTCGCTAGTAATGACAATGTCGGGAACGCTCACCAACGGCGGGTAGAAGCGGGAGGTCGAAGACGTTCGAGGAATCGCTTTAATTTCGAGAAATTACTGTCGCTCGTTAAGCCCCCGCTTCGATGTTAATTGCTGCTTATCGGACGAGCTACCCTGTTATTTTGCAAACCACGGAAGACCGTTCGATGTGCGTTACCCTTCGCGCCGCGAGATCACCCGGAGACCAACACAAAGACCCCGGAGTAAAGAGAGACTTCCTCCTCGGGAAGGTACGATTGAAGCTGAGCCTACCGAAGGATCTCGCTGGCTCGATTCGGCTCGTTAATGTCATATTTCGATCCCCGATCCGTTAACGAGCTGACTACGCGCGCTGTTTGTCTTCTTGATTTGCGGAAAGGAAGAAACGTTCGCGCGCCGGAGTGCATCGTCTCGGTCGAGTGCTCTTCCTGGATAAGAACCGCGCGACAATAGCGAGGAGTCGTGCGGCGACATCCATTCCGAGGAGGACGCGACATCCGAGACGCGTCAAAGAGGCTCGTTAAAGGTCCGTCCTGTCGTTAACCATTGTTTAGCCGCTCCTGGGCACCTACGGCCCTGCCAGGCTGGTAAACCAGTCCTTCTGTCTGAGCAAAAAGAGCGATAAAGAGAGAAAGAGAAAGAAAGAGAACGGGTGAATCGTTTGAATGGAGAGAGCGAGGGAGACGGAGGGAGAGATAGAGAGGAAAAGAAAGAGCGAGAGAGCACACGAGAGGGAAAGGGGGCAGAGAGAGGGAGAGATCCGTGAGGAAAAAAATGAAATAGAAAGTGGTCCGGCCGGTGCAACAGACTACAGTCTATGACGCCTTTAAAGCGCCTCCTCCTGCGGTGGAACAGCCGGGGCCTGTTCCTGTTCTTCATGCACTATAGCAAAGCCACGGTGCTCTCTTGAAGGCTCCCGCGCCAATGCGCTCGCATTTCTCGTGCGGTTGTCGACTCGGAAAGTATCCCTCAACTTAACGCCGGTAAGTCGACACACGTATTGCTCTAAGTTCGACGGTCCTCCGGTACCGAAGTGAAGTTTCCCGTAAAGGAAGTTTCGGATCGCGTATCGCCGCTCCCCGCTCGCACCACCTCTTCCCCGAGGCCGCGAAAACGAGGATGTCGTCGCGCGAATCGTGATAGGAGTGATAAGGAAGCGACCGTGGTGTTGAACCCGGACACGAAGAGTCGTCCTGCTCGGTTGACACGGCGCTCCCGGGTCGCGACGTCGCGCTCGGAATTTGACGAATCGTCAGTTTGTATTAATCGTCGGTGTATTCTTCGCGATTCGCGCCTTGCCTCTGGATAAGAAATTTCCCGTGGGATATTTGGATTGTTTAAATTGTTCCGAAGGGTTTTTAAGAGTGTTTAGGGAGAATTTCGGATTTTGTAGTTGCTTCGACTGTCCGACTTGATTCTGCACGTCTCAGCTTTCTTAGGATGTATACGCGAGAGGAACTTGCCTTTTACGTAAGAAGAAGTCGTGCGCCATCGAAACTTTATATATGACGATTGGATATTCGAGAAAGTTGGTTGATCGTTTTTGTAAATGCACTCGAATGTCATAGAAATGTTAAAACATCGACTTTGGCCAGGTTATCTTTTTTTAATTGACGATATCTTCTTTTGAAACACACTTCGGTAAAATGATCTTTTATAGTGATTATTTTCGCGAGGGAAAATGAAAGATGGAGAGAGTTAAAAATGTAATAGAAAATTGCGTCAGAGTGGTTTCTTGTTTTTGCGGCTTTCGCGTAAAACATCATCGACGAATATTCCTCGATTAATAGCCTTCCAAGATATTTAATTGTAGTATGCATATATATATATATATAATTTCTATTTCGCAACGTCAACGCGTTCAGTCGCGATAACTCCGTCGAGCTGCGCAGTCACCGATGCATTTACGTAAGACTACGCCAACGCCGATCGCTCTAGAAAGTGATTCAACTAGTAACGCCTGGAATCCGCGTTCCTAAGAACGACGGTTGCGGAATCGTTGTCGAAGGATCTTTTAACAATTCTTCTCGTAATCAATAGGTGTCGAGAGTTGCTGAGATACGACCCGAGAATAATAACGACCAACCAGCGTTACTTCTCGCGGAAACGAAACGACTGTAATTTGTTGCCTAGTAGCGTATAGTTTTTGTGATGTGTTCTGTATATCCAACAGTAAAAGTCTGTTTCTTTATTTGATTACGAATTTTTCAAGGTATATCTTCATGATTCGTCTGACGTTTAACCGTGTCCAACGGTAAAGCGCGAAAATACTGCGTTCGTTAAATAATTATAGTATTTGTCACGTTATTTTAAATTATTAATTATAGAAAAAATTATGAATTATAAAAGAAAGGAAAAACGTAAAAAAGTTTGATAATATAAATTATTGTAGGAATGACGTTTCGCGGTATATCACATATTTCATTTCCGTTCGTTCGCTTTCGCAGGGTTACAAAAATTTCGACCTCTGGACACATAAAAATTCCCGTTTCAAGATGATAAAAGTATTGGTCCTTCTGGTACTCAGCTCGGTCTGCGTCATAATCAACGCTCAGGAGACGGCATCTAATGAAAAGTGTGAGTAAATCGCGAAAAGAAGAAAGAATACTAATCCGGAAATCCTCATATTTTATTCCGATTGACTTGTTCTCTTTCACATTTGGGAAATCACGTAATCATTCAATTAACTATACTTTAAAAAGAAATTAACTATATCTTACGGGAAGCAAGCTTATACACGAAAACTTTGAGTACAAACTAGAAAAGGTTGATTTTTATATTACCCCCTTTCACAGTTTGTTGGAAAAATTGTCTAACTTTCTGTTTGATCGCGCAGCGCTTTTCGGCCAAACATTCGATGAAATCGTCGTGTCGTCGGATTTAAACGTCAGAAGGAAATCAAAGGAGAATCGTCAGGGCAAAAGATTATTGTCGAACGTGCCGTCAGGAACCACCGGTCCGCCGGAAAAGCCGACTGCAATCGCATCCAGGCTCGTTTCCGCCGATGGAAGCCGTATAACGCCGGAGAAAAGGGAGAGGCGTGACATTGTTACATCGCGAAGGAGGTAAAACGACGAAAAAATACACATGCCGAGCAAGACACGAGCAAGACGAGCGAAAAAGGAATTCATTAAGTATCAGCCGACGATAATAATATTTCATTATCGCGAAATCCTCGACGCATCTGCTCGGTTACTGTTTGCCGCGATAATTAAATAACCGTCATATGTGTAAAGTGTACAGGTGTAAAATTTACAAAAAGGATTTATATTTTGAAAATGAAACGTATATATTTTGCGCGATTTATCGGTGAAAAAGCGATTAACTGAGGAAACGATTTGTGTTTGGAATTGCGTTTGAATTGTTGATATTTCGTAAGGATGTTCCAGTATGAATTTAATTTACACGTAATCTCGATCAGGTATCTGGATTTGGGCGTCGCGGGATACCTGCTGAAATCTCGGAAACGGTGAAAAATTCTACCCCGAGGACAACCGCACGACCCTCACACCCTCATCTGTGATCACACCTCTTTCGACGAACCTTTGGACCACGGCTCATGTAACAAAAGGAACAATAAAATTTTTCTGTGTCATAACACCCCCTCAGCTTCCTGTCATTTCGCACGGCTGTACGGGATCATACTCTTAAGATACTCGATCTCTTTAAATCGACATTTTGTGCAAGCAAGAGACTTGAACTTTTTTTTAATGGAATGTTCACGCATCCGACTTTGTGCACGTAATACGTTATAACCGTTTGGCATCATAACATTTCTTCCAACTGTCATTTTTCTCATTCCGTCACAAAATCATTTCCGTCAATTCAAACCTCGGCCTTTCTCAAATCTTTTGCTTGTGCGCGACACAAAACACGTGTAATTCGCTTTATTCACATAATATTCAATATCTAATTTTCAATCGTGTACGCATCTGATGCAATCTATGTGTCTATGCAAATAATATGCGACACTTATCTTTGTAAGTGTAAATATTCAAATAAGATTTCCAGCCACGCTATGGGATAATAACACTGAAAAAAATTAATATCCGATCATATCTGATATTGGATAATTCAATTAAAAAATAATAAATGGATATACCCGATTAAGTGCAATGCCCGATCATTTCGTTATTTCGTCTAATCAAGTTGTGCCTTTATCCGATGAAAATTACTGTTATACAAAGTGACTAATTTTTCGATTAGGTTTCATCGGTAATTGCATCAGATAAAGGTATCCATCGCAATAATAAAAATAATCGGATAATGGAAATTTTTCTCAGCGAAGAAATCGCGTGATATACCTTTCGCGTGATTACGGCCAAAATGATCTCGGCAGAGAATTGACGATTGTAAATTTAATTCTTTTAAGAGCAAGCACTACCAGTTCGGCGCACTGTCGTCACTAGCAGTGCGCAAATACCGTCGTCGAGAGACTCAAATAGGATGGCGCGGGATAAATTTTCGCGACAAACGCAGATAAATGCAATTCGAATACGCGGCACTTCTTACAAATGTGTCCTTATAGATAGTACATCACGGTCGCACAACGCGACCGCCGCAACGGCCGATTGTCAGGCATTCCGCGTTCGTATGCGAGCCGAAAAAAATCGGTTGGCTGAAATATGGCAGCTTGCGCTCAAAAGGCAGCCGACATCGCGATGCACACCGCACCGCATCGCACCATGCCGTATACCGCCACGATTCACCCACGGCACGTGACACGCACGTCCAAAACACGTTTAACGAGGTTGTAAGGCGAAATGAGTTTGATAAGAACTCGATGAGATTTGCGTTGTGCATAAATTGAAATATTACCTAATCGTTCCTGCAATTAGAAAGAGATCGACCAATCTAGGAAATGGTGTAGCATACATGACGCCGAGTGTACGAATAGTTGCTGCATTTTCTTGATTTTTCTTTTCTATATTATTAGATTGGTGCGAAAAATTTGTTATTTCTCTATTAAATTCTCGTAAAAAGTTTGGATACTAAAAAGAAAATGAAAAATCTAAAAGCATACCGAGTCGATGTTGTTTATTTTATACGTAGAAATGATTAATTCTTCAAAATTTGTTAATTTCATTTTCTATTTTATTTACAAACAAAGACGAGCCTTTGCACAAATTTAATTAGATATTACAGGTGCGCGTTATCGCGCGTTATTAATTTCCAATTTTCTTCTCCAATTTTTATTGCTAATTCTAATCTAAATTCGTCAATTTTTAATCTATCTCAAATTGATGTACACTCTGTAATAATACGCAATTTTCGCTCAATAATTTATTTTTGCTACTGATATAAGGGAAAAAAATGGCGATTTTTCTCGGAATCGATCGCGTGCCGGAAGACTATTTGGATTTTGATTTACGCTCGAACTGTTACGTCGTACAAACGGCAGACCGTTTGTTCCATGCGTGGAAAGCAGGGAAATTTCGTATTCTGAACATTAAGTCTGACTAGCACCATATATTTTATGGTGATTTCGTGGCTAGACTTCTACAAGCATGCTGACGTGTACTGTGCGTCCGTCATAATTCTTCTTCGATGTTGCGGCATGCAAGCAAACAAATCTTACAATTGGCCGAGCAGTGATGGTGATCCGACCATGATTTAAGACCGCGTGAGACTACTTTTTATGCGACGTCGTGAAAACGGGGTTTGATGAAAACAGAAGCATCGTCCTAATGCCACCCGATTGAAGAAGCGATGTTTCCCGTCGTAATTTTCTTTGATAAACATTAAATTTCAAAGTAGCTTCCTTGATGCGCCACCGACAATACGGCACTAACGGGCGATACATCCTTAAAAAGTTGTTTAACGTCGATTGTGCGTATTTGCGAGCTTTTCAATTTTATTCGTTCCTCTAATAAAAATCGAAATATTTCGTGTAACGAAGAGGAAAAAATTCTCATTTCGAGGACGAAGAGACGGCGATTTCAGTCCGGTCCGATCCAGGCCGGAAGTAGCGCTCCACGATCTGAATACTAATCCTACCGATCAATTTTACCGGCGATCGGCGAAGAACGGCGCGCAGGTGTCTCTCGTTTTCTCCGGCTCGATCTCGGATTCGCGTCGGACCTCTTATCGCGATGCAGAATCCGTAGTGTTCGCCGTAATGGTGTACGTATATCGCTGTGCCTGCGTACGTACGCGCGGGCGTTTATGTCGGTCGACGGTGCACCTGCGACTATTTTATGTCTTCCCTGGAAAAGCTGGACACTAAATCCCAAACGGGTATCCGTCGTCGATCTGCTGACTGCTGATCAGAGAGCGCGGCATCAATGGCGCAGCTCGGGAGGAGCTCGCGAGCGACCGCAGGGGTGGACGTCGCTCGCGACAACGAAAATCTCAAACCGACTGCCCGTTAAAATATCTCCGGTGTGTTTCGAGATTTATTCTTGTTCTATTAAATAAACCGGGGCTCCGAGATGTACGGTCGAAGTACAAGAAAGGTCTTTATGTACCGATGTTAAAATTTAAAATGAAATTGTGCACATTAATTAACGATTAGTTAAATGTATAGCCGAAGGACTATTCGTTAATTCTCGTTTATTTGCGCGATTTCATGTAGCGTTGGCTCTTTTATTTCGTATTCATCTGAATTGCGCGACCTTCGTATTCACTTTCTACTTTTCTGAGACAATCCATAATAATATCATTGGAGATTTACAGAAATCGCATCATTGGATATCGTACTTCAGAAACTTTCCAAACATTTTCTATTTTCTATTTTAAATATCTTGCCCTCTAAATTCGGTCGATGATATTCGGTGCTTTCTCGAGTCTCGAGGAATATTCACGATAGGATCCCTTCGTCCCGGCTACGCCACTGAACAGGATACGCGTCTAAGGTAACACGTACCATACGTACGTCGGGTCCGATACAAGCACAAATTTCCTCTGTTCTCTTTTGAAAATTTGCAAAATGAGCGCAATCCGCAGGCGAGATGTTACGCGGTCTTTCAACCCGCCGTACTTACCGGACTTACCGGACTGCTATTCGTGATTCGTTTCCAAATAGGATATCGTTGCCTGGCTGTACACGTGTGCGGGATGCGCGCGTAGCCGATGCTTTGTGGAAACTCAGGTGGGAATCGATTACGGACGTTCACCCGCCCGCAAGAGAGGAGTCTCTCTCGAGATTCAGACGAAGCACCGCGAAAATACGGTAAGGTAATCCTTTATTTCCACGCCGTGTGTGATGAACAAACGCGAGCGAGTCTCGCTCGCCTTACCGAGACGCAAAAATCTCTTTTTAAGGTAGTGCCGAGGTCGAGGACGAACTTGATAAGCGTCGATATCGTAGAGGCGATCCTCAAAATATGTCACGGAAACATTCACCCGTGCAACCAATAAGACGTGAATCCTGCGGAAAAAATCAATATTCCGTCGATAAAGCTTTTAAGTATAAGCTTTTGCGCATAGCATCCTCTTAACTACGTTCTTTCTTCATATACTTATCGAGGATCATTATTCAATTCGACGTGCACTATATGTCCTGTAGATTCTTTCTTCTCAGCAGCCTGCGGAAACAAGTTGCCACGGCAAAAAATCAATTCACCCCGATGGGGTGAAAATAAATAAATAAAAGGTCCGAGTGCGGAAGGGTGAGGAAGAAAAGAAAGAGAAAGAAAATGAAACGTCAAAATTGTGTGACAGGAGGTGTGCGAAGCTCGGTAAGAATTCGCTCGGCGGTCGCTGTGAAATCGTCGATGGGAATATGCGTCACACGAATGAATCGGTATCGCTTCCGAGCCGGTCGCTCGGCCAAAATCTGCCGGGCGGTAAGTATGATTCGCGCGTTTGACATTCCAACGGTCCTCGCGCGTGATCTCCGCGATCGACGTCTCTATACCGACGGTATCGCGTCGTACGCGCCGTTGCGCAGCGACGTGTAATTCGACATTGGCTAATCTTAATTCAGCTTACGCGATGGCACCAAATGAGATTCCGTCGGCAAACGTTCCCCGCGTAGACGTTCGCGAAAACAGAGGACGAGAGAGAGAGAGCGCGCGCGCGCGCGCGCGCTCGTACAGCGAAATCCTGGGAATCCTGGGAATCTCTGCTTTTAATTCCGCGACGGGAGGAGAAGTCCGCGCGCGCACACGAGATATGAATTTATCGTTCGCCGAGTAAATAAATAATTGAACAGGGTTAATACGCGAGGATCTGATTCGCGCGGGAGAAACTGAATAATTCAACGACGCTGAACCCGCGCTCGCTCGCCGTCCTCGTTCGAAAACGTCTCACCCGCGAAAATCGGTATCGGGCATACCGCGCGGTCGTTGAACTTTTCCCAATGTATCGAGTCACTGAAGGGTCTGTTTCGGCCCTTGGATCTGCTATTTCGCGTCATTCTAAGTGACGCGTCGATTAACCGGGGAAAAATCTCAATTTTCGCCCCCGTCGCTCGAAGGAAGAACCGATTCGGGTTTGTCTGTAAAAATCCGCGCCGGATTTCAACATATTTCATATCTCGAATTATAGTTGTGAACATGATTTCGAACGTTTCCACCGATCTGAATCATTTCAGATTCTTTTCGCTGCCTCGAGCTCTCCAAAATTCCAGACACTTTTCTCGATTCGGTTACTTTCAGCTCACGATAATGCCCGCCGCTACGCCGGAGTCGGCCGAGCGTCTTACCTTACTTTGTCGCGCTTGTAGGCCGCTACCGGATGTTGTATACACGATGAGCCCGCGCTATTTCATGAATCAACTCCGAGATCGGCTCCGCTTTTCAAGTCACGCGTCTCGTATTTTCGGGCGTGACCGGGCGCACCAAAAAGCGAGGCACGGCCCGACCAGCGGGCGCGGGACGAGGAACAGACGCGTCGCGCGATCGGTATCGCTGCTATCGTGAAATTCGTACACCACTCCGCCGGAATGTATCCCTGTTGAAAGGAACCAGGTGGGAATCCATACGGAATCGCGCGTCTCCACCTGGGGATTTGCGCCGAAAATCAGATCCTGGATAGAAATCCGTACATTCCTGTATGAATTTCCACACACCATGCGGATTCTTATATGGATTTTTACTATTCTATATGAGTTCACATGATGTTTCTACGGACTTCTACAGGAATCCATCTGGAAATTTACAACGGGGATTCCCGAGCCGAAATTTTTAATTCTACGTTGTCTTCAATAACTTCCGTATTTGCAGCACCAAAGAAGCCCAATAGAAGGCCTCGGAACATTTGACGTAGAACTAAGCTGTGCCTAAAATAGGACTAAAATTTCGATTTCGGTTGTTTCTCGCGGAGAACATCGAAATCAATCTCCGCCGTGCATCTGCGACGCGCTTTTCCCCGGACTTGCATAGACCGCGGTCGGATTGCGAGACGTTCCCGCTCGAGTTCCGACTTGCAGAATCACGATTGCCGAGGCAATTTGCGAAACGAGAATGCGGAATCCACCGTTCGATCGCTTCTCTTTTTCCTCGGCTCCTCATTACTGCCGGACGTCGTTCGGCAGGCCCGAAAGTTCGGCGAACGCATCGCTCGAACCACTTAATTTCCATTCGCTTGATTCTTTTTTACCTTTAATTCCTACACAGAAAGAAATTAGTATGAAAATTCCAGACTTATATATATAAACGAGAATATACAATTTTATTTCATCCTATGAAGATGAAAACTTACTCTTACACAAAGAAATTCTATGTATAATTCCGCTAAAAATTTCATATTCTTTTGTTACTATTATTCGAGAATAATTTTTGCGAACTGAGAGGGAAACATATCGGAGAGAATGAATGATATCTTCAAACTGATTATATTTTTAATCTGTCGCCATATGATGCGTTACATCTGCGCGACGACGAACGTCGGGCCGGTCGCGCGACGCGTATTCACGACTTTCGTTCGACCGGTCAGCGCTTCCGGGAGAAACGATTAATTTATTTTCCAAATTCCCGAAAGAAAATTCTCACTCGCTCTTTTCGGCTCGATAAGAAACGATTTCAGTCGTTGCATACCGCATGAGCGAAACGTTTCGTTGCTCGCGTATAGTTATTTTTACCGCGGCTTCGGTTTCGGTCGATCCGTGCAACGGTGCCGCGCGCTGTAGACGGTCCGTCCGGCCAGGTATAATGACGTGCGTTTGACGTAACGTCTGGCGTACGACCTCTTAATATTAATATTATGTCAGTCATACTCGGCCGCGAGCGTCCGCGGCTACGACTGGTCAGAGGCGACGATAATTCTTGGGGACGATCAGGAGTCCGTAAGAGTCCAGTGGTGGTGGCCGTGCTCGCCGTGTCCGGAATCGTAAAACGAGCGCGTGTCTCTCTCGCTCTTTCACACAGTCGGATCCGCCTTGACGTGTCACTGTCCCTTCTGCACGCTCCATCATCTTCAGCCTCAAAGGCAAGCGAGGAGGAACGGAATTACGATCACCGGCCGGTACTCGGAGAGCGACGCGCTCTCCTTGCGCGACTCCGCGCGTCCTGCTATTCACACTTTATGTTCGTGACGAATGTAGCTTCGCGTCGCACGATCGTAACTTCCTCGGCTTTGAGTTTATCTCGGATCACGTGAATCACGACCGTTCAAACCGTAAAGAACGATGCGCACCTTTGTTATTTATCGTGGTCGTTTCATTCCGGCTTGAATTTCAACGCGTCTAATCGCGAATCGCTTTAATTACCGTCGATTCTCCACGTTGAATTTCATAAATATTTCCTTTCGATATTTCTTCCCTCGCGTTGAAACACATATCGAAGTATTTTGGAGATTGTTCTCAAAATTGTCGATTTTCTCGGTGAGATTTACGTTTGTTGTACCGCAAGCGAGTACACAGACACTCGGAGGATCCTCCGAGGAGGCACCGATCGAGAAAATAATGGCGGGTGAGCGGAGAATCCTTCGGTCCTCGGGTCGCACATATTTATAGAACGATTGAAAATGTATGAATCTATCTTCGAGCCTGCGTGTCTGCTGGGACGCTGGAGATCCCTTTATCATGCCTCGATCCGTGACTCAGTAACTCACGTCGCGAAGGAGGAAAAGTGACAGGCCATCGGCCCTCCGCGACATTCGTCAACCATCGCCCATTCACATTCTCGCCGTTTCTCGGGAGAATTCATTACAAACACCTTGTTTCAGTCATGAGCCCGAGGCTTCGAGCCAGCCTTCGAGTGTTTCTGGTCGCAGGATTTATCGGGTACTCTGTCTTCCGCTGTTGTCTGCTCAAACTAGAATGACAAAGAATATTATGTACAAGTTAAATAAAATATATCAGAGTCCGATGAAGAGAGATGAAAGATACTGTCGCAGGAATTATTTAAAAACTTGAGACCTACGATGAAAAGGAATATCCAAGATATCTAAATCCAGGATTTCTTTTCTCGAAAAAGAAAAGTCCTTCCTAAAGACTCCGAGAGACATATCCGAGTCGAAATTTTAGTCCTAAATTAAACCTTTAATTCTACAACACAGTAGGAGCTAAGACAGCGAAATAGGTTCAATTTCAATTTCAATAATATAATATAACCTTTACTTTGATCCTGATGATATCTGAAATTTCCGTTTTCGCTGTTTCAGCATCGAAAATAAGTTGTTGAGAAGCTTTAAAATTGAATCTGTAGAATTGAAAGTTTAAGGGAGAAGTGAAAAAGTGTCAGTCTCGTCAGAGTAGATTTATATTAGTCTACAGGCCGTTTAAGTAAGCACGGACTATCCTTAGGAACGCCAGAGTAGCCTCGAAACTTCGACTCAGGTGATCGCCTAATTACTCGTCTCGGACGCCAGCAGAAGGACGCACGGAGAACGTGCGTCGTTGTAATTCGGCGTTCTCTCCTTTCTTCATTCGCGCGGGGCACACGCGAGGAGGATCTTGATCGAGCTGCGACCAGGCCGTCGCGCAGCCATCTCTATATCCCGATCGGCGGCGTTCGATCCCTCGAATCCAGATTGCCATCGGCGCGGATCACAATTAATGCATCAGACTCAGCATGTGCCGCATCGTTCATGGGGATCACGTAGCGTTGAACGATGCGTGCGTTTGCTTTACGGCGATCCTCGCCGTACAAGCGACCACCTGACGACGCCTGGTGGGGGATCCGGCTCGATCCCGCATCCCCCGTGTCCCACCGAGGAGTCCCTCCGATATCCATACCCATACCCCCGTGCCGAGACACGGGCGTGTACCTGTCCGTCCCGTGTCCGTGTGTTTCATGGTATAAAAGCAATTGCGTCGGCGAGGACCAGCAGCATCGTGCAAAAAGTCGGTATCGTCGGCATCGCGTGGAGCAGCGTGGAGAGATCGGTGGAAGTGAGTCCCCCTCGATTACCCCGCGATTTTCCGTCCGCCCGCGTAAGAAGCCGGTGTCTGCCGGAGGAAGTCTCGACAGGGAAATCTCGAGTGATCGAGGGTAGCGGATCGTTGCGCGGCAGGAACTCTTGAAGAAAAGGATCTTAAAGGACCAAGGATGGCTGGCTGGTTGAGCTTCGTTTTGGTCGCGATCGCGTTGACGATCGCGATCGCCGAGTCGAGAGTGATCCCGGCTGAACCCGGTAAGCGTTTGAAATTTCACCGAGATACACCGAGAGAAGAAATATCTAAATAAAATGAGAAAATATCTATTCGGTAGGAATTAATAACATATTTACTTAAATCTTGGTTCTTTTATTTAAATATAGAATGAACGATTGTTTTCACATGAAGAGCAATATAAAAAAGGTGCTGAATTCAAGTAAATAATTATTTCAATACTCCTTAGCAAATTTTTACTTAGATTAAATAAATTTTACTTGAATGTGTAGCATTCTTTTTCATATTTAAGTGATATTTACTTAATCCGAGTGAAAATTTACTAAGAAATATTCGAGTAATTATTTATTTTAACCTAGCGTTTGTTTCTGCGCACATATTTAAGAAAATGTATTCTTAGATGTTTCTTCTCAATATACGATACTACCTTTACCACAAATATTATTTAGTAATTAATCTCTGAACTCTTTACATATGACTCATGCGAAGCATAAAGGACCAGGTATTGACGGCCCTTTCATTCTTAAAGAAGAAAAAAACCCGTCCTTTTTTCCCTCACAGTCTCTGTCATGCTGGACGCTTACGGCAACCCCATAATGGTCCTAAGAGAGAAAAGAACGGTCGTACACCCTTATCCGCAACGGGCGATGATGTTCACCGGATATTACCGGCCGGTACGCCGTTCGAATAACGGCGGCCAGGCGACTGGAGTCTTCGCTCAGGGGAACGCCGTGAGCGGCGAGGCTTTCTTCAGTGGGATGCCGCACCTCGGGGGTGGTCCGGAGCCGATCGAAGAAGTGTCGAGCGCCGAGGCGCAGGCAGCGCCAGCGTCCGAGGAGGCCTACAACGAGGAGGAGGAACGGCAGCAACAGCCGCCTCATCGGGAACATCATCACCATCAACAAGAGGAGCACCACCACGAACACCACCGACACGAGGAGGAAGAGCAGCCTCATCGCGACGAGCATCACCATCGCCATCAACAGGACTCTCAGGTATGGAATACCTTCACAGGTTTTGTAGCTGTTCGATGTACGTGAAATCATATTTTCGACTACATCGGCTCTTTCGACTATAAAAGTCTCTAAGATCAATCTAGTGGATCGAGCATTAACGCCTGCGCCTTTAAATAAAACAAATAATTAAACATCTGTATTCCGTCTTTTCTTCACGCTTCGTACAATAAGTCTCTTATTTTTACCTCTTCGAGCCCTCCGAATAACTAAATATCGTTCCGTTCTTGAAATACACATGTCTTCCATGGAATGCTACGTCTGGTATCCTGGACTTGCAGGAACACCACGAGCCGGAGCAAGTCCCGTTGACTACGGAGATCGCGCAACCGACGGAGGAACCGATTGCGGCCAGCACGGAAGTGTCGGAAGTGTCGGTAAAACGACCGAAGGCGCACAACAAGAAGACGCAGAAGACACCGGTGATCGTGGACGACGACAACGATGACGAGGACGAGGCGGACGAGGAAGACGACGAACCGGTCGCGCCGTTCGTGCCTTTCAAGGGCAACAGACGTCGCCAGGGATATCCTAATCTGAACAACTACTTTCCCATGGTCTTCAGCTTCCCGAGGGCTGCTACTCGCTCTGGATCCGCAGGTTCCCCTCCTGGAACCATCACTGCTATCGCGAATAGCTACTCTACGGGGAAGGGCGGGGTCGCCAGCTCGGTGGCAACTGCGTACGGTGGATCTCCCACTGGGTAAGTCGAATCTTCTTATCAACTTTAGTTCCCCGGCGCAGCTATAGCGATCTAGATAATCCGTAAGAATCTGTAAGAAGAAATTTCTTAAGTCTTTGTCTGAAGAAAGTTTAATCCTGGAATATTAACTCTTTACTCTGGATCTATGCTTCTGATCTCACGTCTTGGAGAGGTTTAGTGATTAAATAAAGGAGAAGTCAACAAGATTCGTTAATATGACGTATAGATTTTCCAAATATATAACAAATTGAAAATTGATGAGGTAGAAACAAATGAGAGAGGAAGGTTCGTTAAAAATATTTATGTTTCAGAGACGCACGTTAATATTCTAAAGTTAAACTCAGGCTAATCGACGTTGATAGAAACGGGTATGAATCGACTATCGAGGAAAGATTACTTTCTCATCATTAAATAATCCAGCTGTTGAATTACAAAATATTAAACTATTTATGTATGATTATTAAAATTATTAAATCGTGTAATTACTTAATTGTTAGCGAATTACGTGATACATCATAATAAGTTGATGTTAAGCGCAAGACGTAGTAGTCGATGGATATATTATGCAAAATTTAATTAAATTGAATCACATTAATTGGTTTCGATGGGACGGTTTAATTAACGTATCCTAATCTGAACTCTTTGAGTAACGTATTTGTTATGCGAGATAAGTATAAATAGATAATAAATTCGTGGAAGCTAATACGTTTTGTCATACACATTCCCGTTAGAAAGAAACGACGCTCGCAATCCGAGGAATAGCTCCTAGTGGGGCGATTTCATCGACAAGTTGAAAAACCGAGTCGTCCGTCACCGTCTGGACACCTGAAGGATAAACGAAGCTGCGACCTCCGCCGGATTCTTGCGCGTTATTCACCACCAATCTGCCGATCAACTTCTCATTCGTCTTTATCTCCGAATCCTGAACATTTGACAGAAGATAAGCCGCAGAAATTTGGCGTAAAAGAATTTTCGGCGAAGAAACAAAATTAATTTAAAAATAGGCATTAATCTCGTCGGAGATCGTGCGATCCGTCGCGAATGATACTTCGTTAAAGCGAGAAAGAAATTTACAATTTCGTCGTTCCTGGAGCACGACGAGCTTCAACATTATCATCGTGCAACTTCGCGCTGAATTACCGGGCGGATTCGCGAATAGTTCCGCGTTTTTATCTTCACGATTTTCAGGCAATTATTCATCTCGTCCACTGTGTTTACTTCACGCAAACATTCGGACATAGATTTCACTCGGAAAGAATCGAACACTTCTAGCAGCCTCTTTAGCGGTACGCAATACTGCCGTAATTTATAGCAGCATGCGAGGAGACGATATTAGCGTATTTCGCAATCTTAACGTGTATTCTCGTAGACTAGGACCGTATTGTTAAGTATCAGCGCGAGGATTACAGACCGCGTCAACCGCGTTTGAGATTTGAAATTCTCCCCGGAGATATCCGAACTTGGGAAAAAATTTCCACATATATAATTATATGCTAATATATATATATATATATATATATATTTATATATAATTATATCAGTATCCTCTCGCGCGTTCAACGGTCCATGTTGGCTCATTTCACGGTAAGCACACGTAAATTAATTTTAACGCAATAAAAAGTATGAAAAAACGAAAGACTCGGCTCTTACTTATCCCACAACTATGTCCCTCGACGCTTATCCGTGAAAGTGACGCATTAAAATATTCTTCCTGTTGACGTAACGCGCGACGTATACGCAATTTGCAATTATCCGCGTTTGTTAATTTAGAAAAAAAGGACAATCAGCAATTACCAAGCAGGATACCGATGTAACATAATATTAAATCTCATTAAATCTCAATGTGTTAGGTTATACGTATACGTATTTTTTTGCTACTCGCGCGAACGAGTTGCTGTTTAAGGAGCACGGTCGATGACCCAATTAGAATATCCAAGCTGTAAAATCCTTAAAACACAGAAGAACAAAAAGCCGAACAGCTCGATTGATTGGTTAGCAGTGCTCAGATCAGAACCCCGCCTTCGTTCATCGATCTGAGGCTGTGAAGCCCTGAGAAAAATCAAGGTCACCGCTTAACCATTAATGAATTTGCTGGGTGAAGAGCGTTTTATAGTTCTTAAAGCGTGGTCGCTGCTGCGTGAGTTCAATTTCGATTAACGACGGCTAATAAATATCGATTAGAGCGGCGCCTCGTGCGACGACGACGGCTTTACGAATGGCGTTTTAAGTACTCGGTTATATAACGGCGCATTCGCGCCGGGAGGATTATTCGTGGCGCACGAACGGTGGAAAATATTTTCGCGGAAATAAATCGAAGAATTACCGTCGTTCTCGGAGTACATCATTCTTTGATTTATGAATAATCCGCGAATTGCCTTTTAATTCTACGATAGGTATAGAATTTTCTTTTCGCGGCCGCTATTGTCAATTAATCGGTCTCACCGAGTCGTGTTGTTGTAAGAATTATGCGAAGGCATCAGCATATAACGCGGAAACACCACGCTATTTCGCGCAAAATGCACAAGGAGAAATATATCTTTATAATGCGCGCAAATTTATCCGTGAAATCCTGATATTCTCCGTAACATTCTTCGTCGTATCTCTGTTTGGAAAACAATTCATTGAAAAATACTGCGAACCACGTGTCGGGCATTAGTTACGCGCCCAAAATATATGGTGATTTACTGGGGACACGGAAGGGATTCTTATTCTCACGAACAAGACGAAAACGGATGAAACGACGCAAAAAGGAATAAAAAGATCCGAAGGTATACTCGCTCTCGCGCACGACTTCACCAATCGTTGAACTCTCCCGCTCGACCCTCGATTTCTCACTCTAGAAAAAAAAAATCAGATAAGACCTTTGCCTGTTCATCCTCCTCGGCTTTTTTATTTTCGTTCTTTTCTTTTCGGAACTTCGCCATTTGAAAAGAAGAAAAAGAAACAATCCGCGCGATCATCCTGACCAGCGGTTCCCAAACTACCAGGCTTCATTCCTCAATTTTGTGGCTTTCCGTCTTAAAAAAATATTATCTGGATATTTTTCTTTCTCTTTCTACTATTAGCTAGAAATTACTTTGATCAACTAGACGATAGATAAATTTCAAGAATATAAATTTCTGATTAAAAATTTGTAAGTAACTGTGATCAATCGACTAATTAATAAGATTAATGTAATGAGAGGTTTTATCAACGATTCACCCTGGCGATCACTTCTTCGCACTCCTCTTCCGTCTGCGACGGAATGACCCAATATGGGACCCGGTATGGGACCCAATGATCGATATAATCGATTGCGTGATATCGAGACTGCTCGTTCATCCGCTCGAGCTTGTCACGAAGTGACGTTCGTTAACGAGTGAGAAGGAAAACCTCTCCAGAGACACAACGGCGCATCATCGCGTAACACCGACAAAGAGAAACCCGTCCGTCACGTCCGTCGGCGCTAATGATACGCGGTGATTCGTTAAGGTCGAATGTACTCGTTTCGTAGCAGCGTAAACGCGCCGGCGATACGGGGTATCCCAAAGCGCGGACGTATATAAGGACTGCCTGACCGATTTTCTCGTCGTCATTTGGCACTGGGATACTCGCAGGATAGCGTACGGTCGTCAGAGTGCACAACATATCCGATCAGTAAACGGCAAAATGTCGAGAATCGCGGTCTTCTTGCTCGTCGCGCTCATCGCAGTGGTCGCAGTCGCGGTCGCGGTTCCGACCGAGGCCCAGCCAGGTAACCCAGCAGGGCACGATCGTTAGCTCGACGGTAAATTCACTCGCGGGGATTACGAAAATGTGGTGAATCGAATTCACGCGTGAACAGCCGAAATTTTAACGCTCACCGTTATCCGTTCGGCAGATGGGAATTCGCAATTCTTTATGATGAAGTCACGTTTCGGCGCTGTTCGTTATGAGGCGAATGAATATTAAGGATGCATTGCCCATAAGTCAAAATAATGAGAAAATTATGAAAAGATTACAAATTGATCAACATTGCATTTTAAAGTGACACCAAAGTTAAACAGTAATTCATAGCTTGCGTGAAAAGTGATTTCACTTTAAAAAGGGTTGTAAGGTGAAATGTGTTTGATAAAAGTCCGATGTCGCCTCAAGTTTTCATCAGTCGCGAATTGATCATTTTATCCGTCTTTTTCGACAAAGATGATATTTTATTCGGTCGTAGAAAGAAAATACGCACGGTGCGTCGATTTCGATAAACATCCTCGTGGTCGATGAAAATTCTTGAATGCGTGTCATATCGACGAGCGTGTTGGTATCGTCAAATAATTTTTCCAAATCTGGCGAACAAAATGCATTCGAGGGTCAGTGATCGGACTTTCTTTATTTTATTCAGAGTTACATACAGAGTTACCGGGAACAACCAAAGCAGCGCCATCAAGAGTAGCCAGAGCAGCCGCGCCTGAAGCCGAGGCTATAGCCTCGGCTGAAGCCTTGGCCCATAGATACCGCGGACACCACCGCGGACACCATCACCACCACGGGCATCACCATGGTTAGGCAGCGGGAAGTTCTTCACTACCTCCGGGTAAATATCGCAGGGCGATCGTGAGAGAATTCTCAATGAAACGAACTTATTACAAAATTTACAATATTTTATTACAAAATTTTTCATAAATTAATCACTTTTTAAAAAATTCCTTAAATAATAAATTCTAAGTTAACGTTGGTGATTAAATAATGAATTTTTTTATTTATCGGAAATTTATTTATATTTTAAAATGTATTTTATTTGCAAAATTTATTTAAATTTTATTTATTTAGTCAGTTATACTTTTAAGTTGATTTGTTTAAATCTCCTAGTTTATACGTACGAAATTTGTCTAAATGAAAGTTTAGTTTGTCAGTTAACTGACGTTTTACGGAACGATCTTGGATTTCAAATTCAATCTTAATTATTCGATATTCCAATCTAGCTGGTTTTTGCAATAGTCCGCGCTACCGAGTTAACATCAATTGATCGCGCGATGAATGAGATTTTCTTCTCTGTTTTGTAGCAGTCGACATGGACAACGATTTTAAAAGGGAAACGACTACTGTGATTGAAAACGGACTCGCGCGATGATAAACTGATTTTACTTATACACTTATCTTGCAAGTACTTGTTTTTATGATAAGATTAATATAATAAATTTAAAAACACACAAAGAAGTTTACCTGTTAGATTTTATGTCTCGGAAATATTACAGTGAGAAAAAAGTATTAAAAAATATTTATAATTTATTTGTGGGACTTAAGGTTTATTTCATAGAAATAAGGTATGATGTAACGAGTTATCATCACAATGTTTATTTGATCCCACAAATAACGGTTGTCAAATTCAATATATTTTCGTGTAATTACAAACTTTTCATGCCAATTCGTCACTGGGCTATGTAGCATCGCTGCGTTTCCATATCAGTTCCTTCGGCTTTCCGTAAATTGATACATAATTTGGGTAATCGATTGCAGCGTTTATTATTCAATCTGTTACATTTGATTGTCCGATAAGTATTAAACGCAAAAACACAATTATTCGACAATTTCTGTCGTCTCGTGACAATTTGCGAATATTTCCGCGACGGTCTATCAGTGTTCCTCTACTCTTATTCCCTCACTTAACTGTCTATTAGCGCGTCACGGTTAAGCACATTTCACACAATTTGTATATATTATATAGAAAATGTGTGCGTAGGATAAAATTTAGTTAAAATTAGTGTAGTACATATCGTTAAAGATCACACATATAATAATTTTAGTCATAATTCCGGTGTGGTTCAATATTACAAAATTGTGTGATAATAATTACTATTGTTATTACTATTGTTATTATTATTGTTATTAAAGTTTTATTTATCCAGCAATCCGAGACAAAACGTTTTAGGCACAAAATCTAATTTAATATAATTTAAAGTCTCAAAAAAGAGGGCGGTACTTTGGTGGACGGTGAATATCAAATATTACCATGTGATATTATATAATTAATTGGCATAAAAAACCTAATGATAATTAACTCAACTATTATAATACCATCAAAGAATACATTATATTCTATATAATAATTTATATTATCACGTTCATGAGCCTAGGCTCGTATGGCGACGTGTGGGAATCAATCGGTATGATTTACCCCGCGAAACTGAAGACTGCTCGATGATCAGCTCGTACTAATATCTTGCAAAATGATATTCATCGACAAACGAACAGGAAATCGCACCAAGGACTCGCAAGCGTAACATCGATCAATATCGACAAAGAGAGATCTGTTTGTCCCATCTATCAGTGCTAATGATATGCAGCGATTCATCGTAAAAGTGCTCGTTTCGTAACTGCATAAACTCACTCGTAAAACGAGTTATGCGGACGGCTTATCATATATAAAAACTGCTTAGCTGATTTTTTCGTCGTCACTTAGCATTGAGGTGCCCACAGGATAGCGTACGGTCGTTATCGCGCACAACGTATCCGATCAGCAACAGCAGAATGTCAAGGATCGCGGTCTTCTTACTCGTCGCGCTCTTCGCAATAATCGCAGTCGCATTTTCAACACGTCCGCCATCTTCCAGGAGATTCCCGTCCGGGATTCGAGGTAATCCGACAGCACGATCGTCAGTTAGACGGTAAATTCACTCGCGAGAATTGCGAAAATGTAGTGAAACAAATTCGCGCGTAAGCAGTCGAAATTTTAAAGCGTGCCGTTACCCACTCAGCAAACGGCGAGTCGTTCTTCGTGACGAAGTCACAATATCTCGGTACCATTCGTTAAGGATGTATTGTCCATAAGGGCGAAAGTTTATCTGCAAGACGCGTGACGCAAAAAAATCGCGTGAATTTTCAATCCCGAGTTCATCGTTGGTTCTGTTCTTTGTTCTGTGTCTTTCCGAGTAACGCGCGCGTCAAGACGTGTCAAGTTTTCATCAGTCGCGGCCGGTTTATCCGCTTTTCCGATGTCATTGGTATTTTATTCGTTTGCGGAAAGAAAATACTCGGTGTGTTGCTTTTGATAAACATACTCGCGATCAGAATTTTCCAATTTAACATGTTTTATATTAAGGAATGATTAGTATCATCGAGTAATTTTTCAAAATTCGGCGAATGAAATTCATTCGAAAGTCAGTTTCAGACTTTCTTCTTTTTCATTCAATAACTCGAGCAGCCGCGCCTGAAGCCGACCCTACAGCGCGCTATAAACGCGATCATAGAGGAATCGATGGAAATATTCGCGGTGGCAGCTTCAACAGCGGATTCGCAGCTACTCCTCCCAGTATTGCTGCCGGCCCCCTATGTTAATATCGCAGCGATCGTGAGAATGTTTCCAATGAAACGAACTTGAAACGGAATTTTTAATAAACTAAATAATTTTTCTTTAATTCTTTAAATAGTAAATTTTAATTTAATGTTGATAAATAACCGATTTTTTTGTTAAAAGTTTATATTTTAAAATGTATATTATTTGTAAAATTTATTTAAAATTTTTTAATTTAATTAGCTATATTTTGAAATTTATTTATTTCATTTTAATTTAATTGAACCGAACTTTTCTTAACGAAATTTAATTTGTCAGTTTAGTTAATTGACGACATTTTACAAGACGATCTTAGATCTCAAATTTAATCTGAATTTTTCGATGTCCCAATTTAACCGACTTTAATCTACGCTATCAATTTCCGATTGTGTTACTAATTTGCGTGTGATTACGCAATGAATGAGGATTTCTCTGTTTAGCATCCGACAAGGACGATGAGTTTTAAAGGGAAACGATTGCTGTCACTGGAAACGGACTCGCTCGATGATAATCCGATTATATTTATAAACTTATCTTGTATGCGTTGGTTTTTACGCACTTCATAAAAATATAATAAATTTAAATAATACACGGAAGTTTATCTGCTTGATTTCATATGTGGAAGATATTTTGATGATGAATTATCCCATCAACGTTTATATAATCCCATAAATATACATAGCAGTTGTGTCAAATTTAATATATTTTCATGTTTTCGCTAACTTTTTATGCCACTTCGTCAGTGGGCATCGATAAATATCTGTTCCATAAATAATGTTAGGTTAGCAATTGCAGTGTTTACTATTATTCGATCTATTGCGTTCGGTTGTTCGATGTATATTAAACGCAAAAACACGGAAATCATTGCCGATGATTATCGTTTCGCGTTAATTTGTAAATATTTATTCTTTGACAATCCATTGGCGATTTCACTATTCTTATTCTCCCGTTTGTTGGCGTATCACGGTTAAGCACATTTCCCGCAGTTCGTATTAAGTTATTAAGTATGAATTATCCGATTTTCTTAAGTACTAAGTTTGAGAGAGCGAGGTAAGTGTAAATGTATAATAAATTCGTGGAAGATAATAAGTTTTCTCGTACACATTCCCGGTAGAATGAAACGACGCTCGCGGTCCGAGGAATAGCTCCTAATAGAGCGCAGAAGGACAGAGAGCCGAACAGCTCGATGGATCGCGGAATTACGTTGTCGACGGTTGGCAGTGCTCAGGTGGGAATTCCGCTTTCGTTCATCGACCTGAGGCTGTGAAGCCCCGAGAAAAATCAAGGTCCCCGCTTGACCGTTAATGAATCTGCCGGGCGAGGAGCGTTTTACAGTTCTTAAAGCGTGGCTGCTGCTGCGTGAGTTCGATTCCGATTAACGCCGGCTAATGAGTGTTGATTAGAGCGGCGTCGACGCGACAACGACGGCTTTACAGATGGCGTTTTAAGTACTCTTTGTTATACAACGTCACAATCGTGCGGGAGGATTACTCGTGGCGCACGAACGATGGGAAACATTTTCGCGCAAGCAAATCGAAGAATTACCGTCGTCTTCGGAGTACGTCATTGTTTGATTTAGGAATGATCCGCGAATTGCCTTTCAGTTCTACGGTAGATGTAGAATTTTCTTTTCGCGACCGCCATTATCAATTACTCGGCCTCGCCGAGTCATATTATTGTAAGAGTTACGCGGAGGCATTAGCGCATGACGCGAAAACACCACGCTACTTAGCGCAAGATGCATAAGCAAATATATATATATATATATATATCTTTATAATGAGCGCAAATTTATCCGTGAATCCTGATATTCTCCGTAACATTCTTCGTCGTGTCTCTGTTTGGAAAACAATTCACTGAAAAATACTGCGAATCACATCGGGCATTAATTACGCGTGCGAAATACATGGTGATTTATCGGGGACACGGAAGAAGTTTTTTAATCTCACGAACAAGATGAAAACGAGTGAAACGATGCGAAAAGGAATAAAAAGATCCGAAAATATACGCACTTTCGCGCATGGCTTCACCAAGCGTTGAACTCTCCCGCTCGACCCTCAATTTCTCACTCGCAATAGAAAAAAAAAACCAGATAGGACCTTTGCCTGTTCATCCTCCTCGGCGCTTTTATTTTCGGTCTTTTATTTTCGTAACTTCGCCATTTGAAAACAAGAAAAAGAAACAATCCGCGCGATCAACCTGACCAGCGGTTCCCAAACTACTATGTTTCATCGCTCAATTTTGAGGCTTTTCGTCTGAAGAAAATATTATCTGGATATTATTCTTTCTCTTTCTACTACTAGTTAGAAATTACTTTGGTCAGTCCGACGAAAGGTAGATTTCAAGGATATACATTTCTGATTAAAAATTTGTAAGTAACTGTGGTCAATCAATTAATTAACAAGATTAAGGTAATGAGAGGTCTTATCAACGACTCACCCTCGTGGTATCATCCTCGCGTTCCTCTTCCGTCTGCGACGTATGGGAACCGATGATCGATAATGATCTATCGCACGATATCTGCTGCTCGTTCATCCGCTCGAGCTTGTCACGAAGTGACGTTCGTCGACGAGCGAGTAGGAAATCGCTCCAGGGACACAACGGCGCATCATCGCCTATCACCGACAAAGAGAGACCCGTCCATCCCATCCATCGGCGCTAATGATATATGGCGATTCGTCGTGGTCGAAAGTATCCGTTTCGTAGCTGCGTAAACGCGCCGGCGAAACGGGGTATCCCAAAGCGCGGGCGACTCGTCGTATATAAGGACTGCCTGGCCGATTTTCTCGCCGTCATTTGGCACTGGGATACCCACAGGATAGCGTACGTTCGTTAGCGCGCACAACGTATCCGATCAGCAACAGCAGAATGTCGAGGATCGTGGTCTTCTTGCTCGTCGCGCTCGTCGCAGTAGTCGCGTTTCCGACCCAGGCACCGCAATCTCAAGGTAATCCGGCAGCACGATCGTCAGCTCGACGGTAAATTCACCCGGCGGGATTGTGGAAATGTAGCGAATCGAATTCACGCGTGAACAGTCGAAATTTTAACGCCGTTACCCGCTCGGCAAGTAGTGAGTCGCTATTCTTTACGATGAACGTCACGTTTCGGCATCGTTCGTTATGACACGACGCGTCAAGTTTTCGTCAGTCGCGAATTGGCCATTTTATCCGTCTTTTCCGGCACAGCTGATATTTTATTCAGTCGTAAAACAAAACACACACGGTGTGTCGGCAGACATTCTCGTGATCAGAATTTTCGTATTTGACGTGTGTCATATCGACAAGCGTGTTAGTATCGTCAAGTCATTTTCCCAAATTTGCGAACGAAATACAGTCGAGGGTCAGTGTCCGGACCTTCTTTTTCTTTTATTCAGTATTATCAAGAATAACCAGAGCAGCGGCGCCTACAGCCGGAGCTAAAGCATTGGCCTATAAATACGGCTACGGTGGACACGGTGGACACGGCGGTGGACACGGCTTCGGCCACGGCTTTGGCCACGGATTCGGTGGTTATCACGGAGGTGGATACAGGGGATACGGACACAGAAGATCCGGTGGATATCACGGTGGCGGTTTCGCCAACAGCGGATCCAGCGCCGGCTCCATAAGCACGCCATTAGGCAGCGCTTCCTTCGCGAAATCCTTCGCTATCTCTGGGTAAATATCGCAGGGCGATTGTGAGAGAATTCCTCAATGAAACGAATTTGAAACGAAATTTTTAATAAATTAAGTCATTTTTTAATGCCTTTAGTAATAAATTCTAATTTAATGTTATTTAATCTAATTTAACGTAATCAAATAATTCATTTTTTATTAAATACTCATTTATATTTTAAAATTTATTTTATGTATAAAATTTATTAAAAATATGTTCATTTAGTTAGTTATACTTTTAAATTGATTTTTTTATTTTCGAAGTTATTCATACGAAAGTTTTCTAAGCGAAATTTAGTTTGTCAATTAATTGACATTTTACGACGCCGTCTTAGATTTCAAATTCAATCTTAATTATTTGATATTCCCTATTCTAGTCGGTTTTCGTAATAATCCGCGCTACTGATTATAATATCAATTGATCGCGCGATAAGGAAGATTTTTTTCTGTTTTGCAGCAGCCGATATGGACGATGAGTTTGATAGAGAAACGACTACCGTCACTGAAAACGGACTCGCGTGACGGTAAACCGACTGTGCTTATACACTTATTTTGTAAACACTTGTTTTCATATAATAAATTTTAAAACACACACAAAAGCCATCATTCCAATATGGTCCAATATTACAAAATTGTATTGTAATTATTATTATTATTATTGTTATTAAAGTTTTATTTATTTAGAACACCGGGGCAAATTCCTTTAAGCGCAAAATCTAATTTAATATAGTTTAAAGTCTAAAAAAAGAGGCAGCATTTTGCTGGATATCGTATATTACAATATGTGATATTGTAATATACGATATCCACCATAACGCTAAATAGCATTAAAAAACTTATAATAATTAACACAATTATTATAATACCACCAAAAAGAATGTATTCAAGAATATAATATTGTTTGTACCATCACGTTCATGAGCCTAGGACTAATGTGCTAATTTCTGATTAAATATTTGTAAATAATTGCGATCAATCAATTGAGCAATTAATAAAGGTTAATGTAATAAGAGAGAGTGAGAGAGACAGAGAAAGAGAAGATCTTATCAACGACTCACCCTCGCGGTCTTCGCCGTACTCCTCCGTCTGTGACGTACGGGAATCAATGATCAGTACGATCTATCACGCGAAACTGAACTGATTACAATATGATCGCTCGACAACCAGTTCAAACTTATAGCGAAATTATATTCATCGCCAAGCGAGCAAGAACACAACGCTCCGAGGACACGCGGGTGTAGCATCGGCCAATATCGACGAAGAAAGGTCCTCCCGTCCATCGGTGCTAATGATACGCAACGACTCGTCGCGGAAGTGCTCGTTTCGTAGCTGCATAAACGTACTCGTAAAACAGGTTATCCAAAAATACGGACGGTTTACAATATATGAGAACAGCTTAGCTAATTTCTTCGTCATCATTTAGCACTAAGATAGCCGCAGGATAGCGTACGGTTGTTATCGCGCACAACGTATCCGTTCAGCAACAGCAGAATGTCAAGGATTGCGGTCTTCTTACTAGTCGCGCTCTTCACAATAATCGCAGTCGCATTTTCAACACGTCCGCCATCTCCCAGGAGATTCCCGTCCGGGATTCGAGGTAATCCGACAGCATGATCGTCAGTTAGACGGTAAATTCACTCGCGAGAATTGCGAAAATGTAGTGAAACAAATTCGCACGTAAGCAGTCGAAATTTTAAAGCGTGCCGTTACCCACTCAGCAAACGGCGAGTCGTTCTTCGTGACGAAGTCACAATGTCTCGGTACCGTTCATTAAGGATGTATTGTCCATAAGGGTGAGAGTTTATCTACAAGACGCGTGACGCAAAAAAATCGCGTGAATTTCCAATCCCGAGTTCGTCGTTGGTTCTGTTCTTTGTTCTGTGTCTTTCCGAGTAACGCGCGCATCAAGATGTGTCAAGTTTTCATCAGTCGCGGCCGGTTTATCCGCTTTTCCGATGTCATTGGTATTTTATTCGTTTGCGGAAAGAAAATACTCGGTGTGTTGCTTTTGATAAACATACTCGCAATCAGAATGTTCGAATTTAACATGTTTTGTATCAACGAGCGATTAGTATCATCAAGTAATTTTTCAAAATTCGGCGAATGAAATTCACTCGAAAGTCAGTTTCAGACTTTCTTCTTTTTCATTCAGTAACTAGAGCAGCCTCGCCTGAAGCCGACCCTACAGCGCGCTATAAACACGATCATAGGGGAATTGATGGAAATATTCGCGGTGGCAGCTTCAACAGCGGATTCGCAGCTACTCCTCCCAGCATTGCTGGCACACCCACTATGTAAATATCCCAGCGATCGTGAGAATGTTTTCAATGGAACGAACTTGAAACGAAATTTTTAATAAACTAAATAATTTTTCTTTGATTCTTTAAATAGTAAATTCTAATTTAACGTTGATAAATAATCGATTTTTTTTGTTAAAAGTTTGTATTTTAAAATGTATTTTATTTGTAAAATGTATTTAACATTTTTTTAATTTAATTAGCTATATTTTGAAATTTATTTATTTTATTTTAATTTAATCGTACAAAACTTTCCTAAACAAAATCTAATCTGTCGATTTAGTTAATTGGCGACATTTTACGAGAGGATCTTAGAGAATCTTAGATCTCAGATTTAATCTGAATTATTCGATATCCCAATTTAACCGATTTTAATTCGCACTATCAATTTCCGATTGTGTCATTAAATTACCCGTTATTACGCGACGAATGAGGTCTTCTTCTCTGTATAATAATCGTACGTACTCGTGTCGGCTTCGCACTCAGGTTGTACGGCAATATCCTTGTTTGTTCTCCACCGGATGTTGCCGTTTAATGTTTTGGGAAACGCTGCATATGCGGGTGCCTTTGTTCGCGCACAGACGATGCCTATAAAACCGCACGGTCTGCTAAATGGTCTCATTAGGGTCTCACTTAACGAAGCGAGTTCGACGACGACCGGAAAATGAAATTTTTCGCGATTGTGCTCGCCTCGATCGTGATTGGCGTAAGTTTGTTAGTAAATTTCTTAATTACCAACTGGCTCTTTTCTCTTCGCGTGTGAGTCGTCCACTAGTGCACCATTAACACATCGACCTCTTATTACTTGTGTTCGCGAATTTAGAAATCAAACGCAAGAACGTTCATTTGATAGCGCGCAATTATTCCTGTAAAATTTTCGCTTTCAGACGCAAAATCGCTCGCTCGCTCTCTCGAGCGTGAGAGACGTAGGTAGGTTTCGCGTGTGTGATCTGTGTGACGTGCGAATCCTTTGCACTCGAGGAAGCTTTTCGCTAAATGTGCCGCAGTCGATCGGAAATTACTTGTTTCTACTGAGGTTTCTTTCCTATCTATCTAAAATATCCATATTATAGAGACATTTCTTCTCAAATGAACCGTAGAAATTCATTTACTTAGCGATGACATCGTGTAGTTCAATTTTTTTTATTATTTCAAAATTTAATTTATTTATTTCGCAACAATACCAGGTAATTTGCTTTTATTCCAATATTTAATTAATGCAACAATATATTTATAGTAATGTATTTGTACACTGAAAGAAAGAATATTTTGCCACTATATTAATTGCCATTATAAAAAGAATATTTTGCCATTATATTATTATGCATATCAGAACTGATTTAAAAAAGCTCGAAAAGTATCTTAAACAATAACGTTTGGCTTTTATAAAAAAGACATCAACGCGCCGCAGCATCTGTCGGGTGCAAAGGTACGCACTCAAGTATGCGCCCTTTGATCATGCTCGCGATTCCTACCTGCCGAAATGATTTTATTAGAGAAAAAGAGCGCAGCTTGCGTAGACGTGCATCGAAGTGCGCGCGTGCATCGAGATGCAAGCCAGAACGCGCCTTCGCCCACCTGGGTAGAGTCCTCGGTTTCCGTCAACTTCGTGAATTCAACGATTCAGAAGACTCCTGCGAACATACCGCAGCGACTGAAAGACCTGATTGCGTCGTACGAAGAGAATGTCGCCAAACTCGTAAAGCATGCTAGGGGAATGTGCAAAAATAAGAATGATAATCACCGAGAAATCAATATCGCGAACTCGTCAAGCAACGTAAATACGCGATATTAATATATTTTTTTATTAAGATGGCGAGTATATTTGAATTAAATGACGATGATCCCTTGCTATTTCAGAAACATTTTCAGACTCAGCTAGGATCGCTCGTTGAACGAGTCGTTAAAGATCAGTCGAAAGTGAGAAACGCGTACGCTAAACTCGGCAACGTTACGGACTCGACTTTGCAGGTATCGACTAAAAAGTTAACGATGGAGAACTTAAATAATTTGAGGAACCTTTTCGATACCATGAGGGAGCTCGATATAATTTATCAGGATGGAGAGATCACGGACGAGCATATTAGGATCAGTAAGCGTTCGCGAATCGAATTCGCAATCATCCTTAAACGTGACGTCGCATTATTGATATTGATAAATTCAAAAGTTGCAAAAATATTTTCAGAATACTTAGGTGATGGAATTAATGAATAAATAATGAAACGAATAATGCATAAGAAAGCTATAATTCATCTTTTGAAATCGATTATAGAACGCACCAATGAAAGAGGATACAAAGGACCAGCGTCAGATCGAGAGGAGCGGATTATTCATACGCTATTCAATATTCAACGTCAGTTGACGCAAATTCGAAAGTATCTGGATAAATTATGCAAGTAAGATCATCACGGGAAAATAGTTCGAAGGAAGAGGTAAACAGCGATGCGCCATATGCGTTACCTAATTAACGATTAAATGCTTCAGGAAACATCACGCGACGTGGACGACAACTACGGAAGTAGTTAATAATGTTTCCTCTGTCGATCAGCAGAACAAAATACCGATAATTCAAAATTGACACACGGTGCGCGCAATATTTATAACAATCGACACATTGAAGAATGATAATTAGCACGTATCGCTATATAAATATTCCAACCTAACATTTTAATAAAAAAACATGAATTTTGCTACTCACGCTCTTTAGAATATGTACGAATTGCGAAATTATATACTTAAGTATGATGCGCCAATAACAGGCTAAGAAAAAGGAAAGAAAGAAAAAAAATACTAGTTCAAAAATTATTTAATGTTTGATTATCTCATTTTTATATTCTACCTCCACTTCATTTCGATTCTTACTTTCAATAAGCGATGTATTAATTATGTAACAAAATTCCTTTTCTATAGTTTTTTCATTATGTTTTTTATTAGTAGATTTTTCTACAGACTCAATATGTGGAAAATGTGGATATGTGTTATCAAAGGTAGGACAATTATTTATGTGGCGTTATATCTTGAGATTATCTTTATTGGCCCATCAAATTTAATGGAATTTACGGGGTTATTTTACGTGAAATTAGAATTTCGACTCGTGATTTGAACGCAATCCACAGTCACAGTAAAATCCTCGACAAAATGTCACCTGAGATTATCGCGGTCTCGAAGTTTATTGTTGCGATTCGCGTGCCTCGTCACCGCACGCACCTGTGTATACGTCCCTTCTACCTGCTCGTGTGTCGCTAGATATACCTACCAAGTTAAAATGTTTCTCATTCTCGTCATCTGACCTGTTTGATCGATAAGGCGCAGTCGCCGCTGACGACGCAGCCCTCGTCGCGAGACGGGAGCAGTTCTTTGTCATTAATCGGTAAGTTTTTTTCCGATTTCATCGCTACTGATCACATCGAACGCGTGTTGAATGAACGAGAGTCAGTCGATACCTCTCGGTGGCCCTCGTCGTTCTAGATTGTAACACTGCCGATAGAATTCCCGCGACGGAGAACGCGATAGTGAGCCACGGTTATTCCGTCGAGATTTCGCACCTTTTGTTTCGGTGACACTTTAAACAACTTCTGTAAATAATTCACTCTGGCACCAAAACGGCTTATTTGTGGATTTATTGACAAAAATTACGTATTTTGATGTCCTTTATGAGCACTCGAGATTTGTTGGTCCAATTTTGAGGCGTCTCGTATACGTTTCGGTGATGCAATATAAAGCGACTCTCACAACTTGAACACTTCGGAAAACCGGCGCTCCTCGATAATTGGGATAGATAAACTTCCCTTGGCGCGAAGTTTACGAAGTCTATAGTTCTCGATCAGTAGTTACCGGATGGTACGTATTTCGATCGAAATCTACGAACGATTAGGACGAATGGCCGCATGCACGCTGCGTCAGTCGCGAGCTGAAACTTGGGCAAGTTAAATTGAGAATCCGTAACTCGCACGGAAATCGAAGCGTCGATCATTATCGCGGCTCGATCCGGCTCCGGTGAGTTGTGCTAATTGCACCGCTTTAATTCTGAATCAGCTCGCGGGGAATTTTGCACCTCGGCACGATTGCTCCGTTGAATCGCGTGCAATAATTAACATTGCGACTCGAAGTAACTGCAAATTAAACGAAAAATTCGTCGTTTCAACAAAAAGAAATATTTTCTACACGTAACACGCGGCAGGTACGCGAGGATAATAAAAGAGAGGGAAGGCTGGATCGGTCTAAGTGAATGTTGCCCCGTCAAAATTGCGATATCGTGCGCTGTAAATCGTCCTCTCGTGTTCACGAGAGAAGTTCCTCGATGCACGCATGCTCGTTGTCGAAAACGGCCGTTCGGAGATGAGACATGCATTATTCGAAATGAGCAAGTTCGAAGTCATCGGAATAAGCCAACTAACACTAACGTGCCTTGATCATGTAGAGACTTGATCGTATCTCAGCGAAACTGTCGGAATATGATTACGTATATACAGCTCGTAAAAGCTGAGAGATGGGCGAAGCTCGAACGTCCCGAAGTTTTCTCGACTTCCCGCGCTCCACCTGGCACGGCGCGTGTTCGGTTGATACAAATAATGCCCGACTCGCCTCGCATCACGGACGCAACTTGCGGCGTGAGTTATTTTCATTATCTAATGAGGAAAGTTTGTACGTTTTATTTCACGAAACGACCGCGAGACATGAACCTCCCCATGGAATCGGCATGAGTCTTTGATCAGAGAAAACGGTCGTCGTCATTTTAATTTTATCATTTCGTTATCATCCGCGAGGATAAATGGCGAAGTGCGTTAGTTTAAAGAGAGATTATTTCTCAAAGGAATCAATTATACACTACGGGCAATAAATTATCTACGCATCGCGACCACGATCCATCTACTGGCGTGAAAAGTGATGAAAACTTTCCCAGATACTCATCCCTCTCTCGTTCGTGATAATTTTATTTTATCAGAGGAATTGCATATTATTCCGAATAATCTGCACGATATATTCCATAAATCTGAGCCGCCCATCTTCCTGTGCAAATCGCGCTCTTTCCCGCACGCAGCCAGAGTTTAAGCGCGCGTAAATGCGCGATCTAAATTCATTGGGACATTATCCGTGCCACGAAAATGCACACGAGATCCGCGATCCGGCGGAATCGACAAAGTTGACGGCCAAGTTGCAAGAGGATTACGCAATTATGGATCGTAAATAATAATAACAACTCGGTCACGCACGAGAGAGAAAAGCAATTTTTTGACGGCTCGCGATTGGCCGTTCTCGTCGTTCGGGAAGACGAGAAAAGAAAAAAAAGAAACCGCCATCACTCTCTTTGCTGCTCCCTCCATCTCTCTCTCTCTCTCTCTGCCTCTCCTTGAATTATTTCTTATCGATCAATCGACTCGAACGGCTATATTGGTCCGTAGTAACGGTTCCTATTATCGGCCATTTTTTCCCCATTTTTATCAGGCAAATTTGCATCTCTATCGCGGTGATCGCCCCTATTCAAGATATACGTGCGACATCTGAGCGACAAAAACGATCTGTCGGCGAAAGATCTGATGTTACGAACATCAATGTTACTCGAATTGTATGTGTATCGTAATCATTACTCGTATTATCATGCGTTTCATTAATTACAGATTTACCAGGAAATATTACGAACTCATAATTAAATGTAATACACGGAAAGAGCGAGCAAACAGATAAATGTTTGATTCAACAAACAGGATTGTCCAGTTTCTCAAACAATATATATCTTTATGTCAAATAACAGATTTTCCCTTGTATAATTTTTTTGCATTTTCATCCAAACATTACAATGGTCGTCATGAGCAATCAATTATTTAAACAAAATTATACTATGTCAGAACAGAAATTAAAGAACTTCTTTGTTTCAGTGGGACAATATTTAATATACGATAAAATAAATTCTTTTGTCGAAAACCAAATTTCCTCTAAATAACATTGTTTTTTCTGTCAAACAACATGGGTTACCCTAATGAAACATAAACACTTTCGTTCAAAAAACAATGATGTTAGATAATAAACTATGTTGTTCATATTAAACAAGCTCGAGTCAAACAAACACGTATGCTAAATCCAAAGGAACCTTCTTCTCCACGTAGAAAGCAGACAATCCTACCTGTGCGTCACTGAATAAATCTTTGTTTCTCTCAGTGTGCGTCCGTTATAGCGGAGATAATAGGTTCGAAGGGTCGATTTCGAGCGGAATCTACGCGAGAACTCGAGCAATTTACGGTATATCAGCCGTACGATCTGATCGGAATTCGCGACGGTTTCAGTCAACCGAATCGGGGGATGTCCGAGCTACGGAGCGTCACGCCGACGACGGTGAACCCGGAGGAGGATAGTCCGGGCGCCGGCGTGGGCGCCGGCGCTAAGCGTCCCGCCGGCGCTAAGCGTCCCGCCGGCGCGAGCATTCGTACCGGCACGACGATCATCAAGAGCGTCTCGAGATTCCTAAGGGGTCGCAAAACGTCCGTGAACACGAAGCGACAGATCTCCGCCGCGCCCGGCGGTAAGTGCTGCGAGCCGCGCAAGAGACGCCGCAGGAGGATGCCGGAGGCCGGCGGCGCCAGGAACTCCGCGTACATCGTCAAAATAATCGAGTCCCTGAAGAAGAAAACAAAGTTCTCCAGGCAAGTTCGCAGAAAGTTCGTCCGTGTATATTATGCACAGTAAAGCGTTTTGTGCTGAAGACGGCCCGCTAAAAATTTTAACAAGATGAATATGTCAAAAAGTAAGATATTAATAAGGTGAATTACGTTAATTTAACATATATTTGTATACTTTTTAACATATTCCCCAAAGTAACACAAAAACTTCAGCGGACCGTTTTTAGCACATTTTTTTACCGCACCGGAGAAAATATTGTAGTAAAAATTTGTGATGCATTTGTGTTTCATGTGTACACGTCGCTAAAGATTACAACACAAGTAATAATTTCAGTCATAATTCCGGCATGGACTTCGTCATTATGAAATTTTGTGATAATTTTTACTACAATATTTTTCCCGTGTCCCGATGAATCGATGCTCGGATTAATTTCGCGAAGGACTTTTCATTCGAATTCTACTGTGACGGCGATAATATTTCACGACGTCGTGCGATTAATGTATTCACGCTTACAAAAGGTCCGTCAGACTTAGCCATTATTTTTTAATTAATAGTATAATTAATATTTCTTTAATTGAAAATACATAAATCATAATCATAAATCATAATCATAATCATAATACATACCGTGTTGAAAGTAACCGATATCGTGATTTGCCATATTTTAGATAGCCGTTTGGTTTCGCGTTAAAACGACTCATGTCTCGAGCAAACAAAATTATCCACGCACTTTGCAAGCTCCTAATGTTAATTTCAAGTGCAAACACATCGTTATCCTGTTTGTTTGTGTACACTCGTGTAAAGATCGAAATTTTTGCTAAACACATTCGTGTCAACACATTCGTGTCAACAGAAGAACGCATTACTATCGCAAAAGGTTAAAGTCGTTTCACATGTGTGCTCGATTTGCACTTGCATCTGCAGGGTGGAATTGGATAATCTCTGCAAACTCTACACAAAACTGACCACCAATTCCAGCCAACAACAAGTTGGCCGGTCGATGTCGTCCGTCGGTAGAAGGTCGCAATCGAGACCGGCGGTCGAGGTAATCGAACAGTTCCTAAGCGATCGGGTTAATTATAAATATTCATATGCGATCTAAGAATCTCATTAATACTCATTGTTTAATAATTAATTAATGAATGGAAATCACAGAAAGAATGAATAAACATTAATCCCGAGACACATCTTGACGCACTTTCTAGGGCAAAGTTCAAGACAAACCGTTAAATATTAATATCAATTAAATCGCATTTGCAAAAACATTTGAGAATTTTATCCAGAAACATCTTCTTACAACAATAAATTTCAAATTCTTCTTACAACAATAAATTTCGTTTAAACCCAAATCATTTTCTTGACCTGGCATCATGAATTATTACTTAATATAACTTATTCAAACTCTGCATTTCCAATTTTCGTATTACAAGCTGAAAAGTCTTAATTAGAATGAAAATGACGGATGCGACAAAGTCGAGAGCGGTCTCACCGACCGAATGGCGAATTAAAGATTTGAAAATAAACGTGATTAGCCACGGTTAACGAGCACTCGAAGGAAAACCTTTCCAAAATGCCTGAAGCGTTTTTCAGGGCATCGACAGAGCGATTTTTCGGGAGCTCCTCCACGATACGTTCCACGTGATCACGGAGGACATTCTAGTGGAGCGTTTGTTCTGCTGTTGGGACCGCGAGATCGAAGGGGCCATCAGGCTCGAGCCGTGGATCATTGGTCTCGACGTGTTCTTACGGGGTAGCCTCCGCGACAGGATCGACTTCTGCTTCCACGTGTATGATCTCAATAACGACGGATACATCACGAAGGACGAGATCTTTCAATTGCTCAAGTAAGGATGACATGATCTCAACTTTTCGCGTTCCAACGATGTCGAAGCGGGATGAACCATCATTTGAAATCTGAATAAAACTCGAGAAACGCAACGACTGCGCCACTCGGCTTTTAAACCGGTTTTACACAAATTAGATTTAACAATTTTTGAGATATTTCTGGATAGTTATATTTTAATTTCACTATGTGATGTTGTAACGAGTACTATAGTAGAGCAGGAGGCGATGCGGTTGAAGTTCGGGGCGTCGATTGAGCGAAAATTAAAAAAATCTTTTATTAAATTTCACCACGGCGAGACGACGAAAATATATAAAATGATAAAATTGTGCAAAATGTGTCAATATCAGCGTAAATAAACAAGAAAAACAGGAAAAATTGTGCGGAGAGCTCGGAAGCCCATCGTTATAATTATTAATTAAAATTAAAATAAATTATTGTACAAAATATTATTATACATCATAACATGTTCTCTTCTACTGTCGTTCATCGTCTTATCGCACTCACGATGAGGTCATTTAAGCGGGAAAATAATTCATAATACGTACATTCGCAGAAACTGCCTGATAAAGCAACCCGGCGAGGAGGATCCAGATGAAAGTGTTCGAGACTTATCGGAATTGGCCTTGAAGAAGCTCGACGTCGATCACGACGGCAAGATATCTTTCCGGGATTATGAGACGGCGGTGAAGGGAGAGCCTTTACTGTTGGAAGCATTCGGCCAATGTCTGCCCACCGACGAGAACTGCGTGGTCTTTCTAGCGACTCTTCAACCTTGAAGATATCTGGCGAAGTTACGCGGGCCTTCAAGTAGAACTCTGTAACCTGGCGGAAACAAAAGAGTACACACAGAAAAGAATCTATTGCCTATTTAACAGGCATCGTGTGATTCACCATTTCGCGGCAATGATGGTGGCGGCTTGTAGTGGTGACTTTGGAACTAATAAAAATAACAGGTCTAATAATCATAACGGGTCTAAACTACTCCGAGAAAAGGCATTTATTCATGACTTGAATCATTTTTAGCCAGGATTTAAACTCGTTTGGTTGAAAGTGTTTTCACTTAACACCGCCAAATGGCAATAAAGTTGTCCATTGCCTCGTAAAAATAATGGGTCTAATACACCTGATTACGATTGCCAGACCTGTTATTTTTATTAGTTCCTAAGTATCCGTTACGAGCCGCCACCATCCTCACTGAAGATTGGAAATCGTAGTATAACTCTAAAACAAGTCAGACGTACTTCTGCTCTATCATGAAAAATCTGTAAAATTCAATTGTTTATAACTCCCGTAAAAATAATGATAATTGGATGATTCAGAAAATATTTTGTAGCTAAAATACTCAGTTTTCAAGCACTTAAAGATTGTAACATTATTGCCGCTTTCTAGCAAGATATAATAATATATTCAGTTCGAGAATAGTATATTCAATTTTTACATGTAGTGTATTTTTAATTATAGTATGGATTTTATTTTGAAATAAAGGAAAATCTTGAAATAGTAGAATTTGATTGATAAGTCGGTTTTTTAATTCCTAAATAATAATTAACACAAGGCACGAATTAGGTGCAATTTCGTTTTTAAATAATATGCTGCATTAATACATGTATGAAATTTACCAAATGTTTGACACTCATAATGAACGTAGTACCTTCTCGAAAATATTTAAATACAATTTATAAGAAATTACGCATATTAAACTTGCGATCTTGTTCAAATACAGAAAATCGGTCGGGTCTCACGATATTCGTATCATAATAATTATCTTAAAATATAATCGACAACAAATAATACGCGAGCAACGGGTATAATCATAATATAATACGGCGGATAAGAACGATGAAAATGATGCGCGTGTGATCTTACCTCGAAGTGAAAAATCCGAATTTCTGACCTCAAAATCACATTTCCAATTACAAAATTAGTTCCAATAAGCGCCGGATATCGGGAACGTATATTTTTCGTCAGAATTGTTTCCGTAATCTTTACGAGCGCGGCGTGAAAATCGATCGGCTACGAATTGACACGCCGGAACATATCCGTCTCGCCAATTCGATTCGATCGTATGACGCGTAATCGGCGTTCGGGCGTAAATTGAGCCGCGCGGCGGTAAACGCAACGAGCGCAGGACCTTGCGCGATCCTCCGCAGCGGCGCGACACTTCGTGGGCCATAAAGTTCGGGATCGTTCGTGATCCTTCGCGGCCTCACAGCACTCGGTGGGTCACTCACAAGGAGCGCGAGAGCTCGTTCGCGTATCGTAGGAGGGGAAAGGCGTTTTCTTCTCTCCGCTGCGTGAGTTGTCGCGCGTCGCGTCTCGTCGACTCTTTCTCGCGACGATGACGAGAGTTCGATCCCACCCGATATTGCTCGTTACCGGATGGCCCGAGTTATCACGACGGGCGATTTACGGACTGCTGCCTGCGCATTAATCAATGACGTTCTTGACGCGCGAACTTCGCGAACCGTTAATCCCGTACCACGATGCGATATCGTTCGCGAGCGAAAGCGAGAGGAACACCTCTCTGCTGCGGAAGGTTTCTCTCTATAAAAGTCCGTTTATAGCACACGCGTCGCTCGTCGTACATCAGACACGCGCTGTCACGTATAATTTCCAGTAACGTTATGACGTACTTGCTGTTATTGTGCGTCACCCTCGCGCTGACCAGTGCTGAAGTAAGGATAGCAAAGCCAGCAGGGAAGCCGGCCCTAAGTAGACACCGCGATACCAGCGGTCGGAGGCGGGTTTACATTGAAACTACACGGAGAACAAAGTACTTTTCACATTGAGAGAAAGAGGTTTTCACAGAAGTAAACCTTATATCCCTAGAAATCAATTTTCATGTACTTTTTCTCAGTGTAGCGATACTAAAGCGTCAGAGCTACGATCATAATATTTTTTTCCCCCAGGAAACGCAAAAGGTGTGAATATTCCAAGTGTTTTCGAATGAGAAAATTTACGTTTTTCACGAATTTACGTTCGAGAAGATTCATGACCTCTCTTGCAGGTTGATGACGAATTTTCTCCCGTACGCAGAAAAATAATTACTTCTTCGCAAATTTTTATTTGGAAAAGTATCTTCCAAGTAAATCAACCAAGTGAAATAGTTAAATATTTATTCGTTAGAATAAAATTTACTTAATCCAAGCACAAATTCGTTAATATTGGAATAATTATTGAATCTGGCGCTTTTCTCTCGTGTAGCGTGAAACTAGCATGAAAAGCATAAATTTTCTAATTTGCGAACATTTAGAATGCTTACTTGTCGCGTTTCCATTCTAGGGAAAATTTATATGATCGCTGGCTAGGCCTTCACGCGAATGAATAAATCAACCTACCTGAGAGCTATTCTCACCTTATCCGCGTTATCAGGACACTTGGTATCGTCGCGAAGGAGAAGTCTTCTCGCGATCGTCCTTTTATTCAAGGCAATGCGACTTTGCAGGAAACGGTAATCCAGAACAAGAACGTGAACATCATCGTGAACGTGGACCCGCAGGAAGTGGCGAAGGAATTGTGGAAGGTGATTGAGGCTCGTCTCAACAGTACCGGTCACCCCACCCACGCGTGGAACGCGATTAAGGATCTGGAGAAGGTGGTGGCTCCATTGGTGATGCCCGGCAGAAGGAGCTTGACGCAGCCGTCCGCTTATCACTTAGCAACCGAGTTCGACCAGATCGCCCGGCGAGCGCTCACCCGCGACACTCCGGGTCTCAACTTGATGGACCAGGAAATCATGATCAGGGACATCGTCGCGGAGATGATGGTCTCGCTCAAGATGATCCAGTCGAAGATCGAAGAAGCGTCCTTTAACCACTTCGGCCTTCGAACCGAGGCTACGCCCAACAGAAGGATGTACGAGCCTATCACGACAGTGAGCGACGACGAGCACAACGACTACGTGAACGTCAAGATCAAGATGCGCAAACAGGACATCCTCGACGTGTTTCACTAGCTCCGGCCGATCGTGTGCGCCAGATTTTGTTGAATAAATAAATTCAATAAGTCAATTGTCAAATTAAAGTTAATTAAATAAATTCAACAGTTGAGAGTTTAATTGATGAATTAATTTTGCTAAATAAGTCGCAATCTTTTATTTGGACGGGAAGAATTTTGTAATAGAGATTATATTAGGATACCTCCGGTATATACGTCTCACTTAAGGAAAACTTAATTTATCAAATGTTATTTATTATGTTTAAGGCAAATGAACTATTCAAATAAAACTGTATATTGTATATTCTACTGTATATTCTACTGCTATAAACAAATTGGAAATACAAAATATTTACTTCTTATATTTAAAAGAAAAACTTTTAGAAAACCCTTATATCTTTACCACATATTCCACAGAGATGAGATAGGAAGGTACGTATAGAGATGGCTTATAAAAAATTTACAAATAATACTTATAAATAAAACGTAAAATGATACAGTAATTTATAAAGTGTGTGTAAAAAGTTGATTAGGATCTAAGAATGAGAAATAAATGCACGAAAAATAATAGTAAAAATAATTTATAAATGTTTAACATAAATAAAAGTTCTGTCTTATAGACGTTAACGTGCAATAACACTTACAATATTTATCGTATAAACCAAATCCGAAATGCTTCCCTACGGAACGTCTTTACTGTGACATAAATCCCGCTAAAAATACTGTATATCCCAAACAGGTGGGATATATAAGTCATCTAAACAAAAAACACAAAAGCTAAACACTTATATTTTGCAGTATCCTATACTTTAACATCCTTTTACACTTATGCCTCGTAAAATAATCGTTAAGCCTTTTATATTCCTTACGATAATTATTTTAAGCTGATTGTAATATACGATCGCGTTACTTACTACATTAATACATTGAGAAATCGATTCAATTCACAAGAGTTTTCTTATATAAATATTAACGATAAAAAGTTGAAATCGTAACACGATACTAACATAACATAAAGGCTATATAACAGAGTGACTGCGGGTAAATTACTCCCACTCTTTCTATTTTTTGTGACTTCTGCGGCGTAAATACCGGAGTTACCCTATAGAGTTTTTGTTTTTAACTAAGGAATAAACCGACATTACGCGTTAATTTGTTATTTTATTTGTCATTTGATATGTACTATTTGTATTTTAAATTTTAACAACGTATATACGATGGATGGCAAGAAATCATAGGTCAAAACGGTTCATGCAAAATGTTTCAGAAATTTACAACAATGTAAAGATACACAAACGGTTTTATTCTGCACTGTCCTTAAAGTTTACAGAACAAGGGCAACTCCTGACAACACTTTCCATGTTTCCTTCGTTTCAGAAGAAAGCCCGACACGTGAAGTACGAATCGCGCCATTCGCGACTGCTTTCTCGCGCGTATTCATCCACCTCGACGAAAGTCCCGAAACGCACAGGCGCACTTTATAGTTTCGCGCGAGATGATTAATAATCGTGGACAAGAAATTGAATGTTACGCGTTTACTCGCGCGAACGATAACACCCGCTTCGATCGTCGTTCTCTTTATCGGATATATAATATTTAATTACGCACCGCGTAAATTCGCGAACGGATTTTGATTCTAGCGTGACCAAACGCTCCTATATAACAAACTCAGTTCCGAGCGATCTATCGAAAGTTGAGGAGAGCGTTAACAATCGACGATCATGGCTTCTACAGTAATGTCACGCCGACTATTCAGTTGCCTTGTGAGTATATTCATTTTTTATTTTTATGTATTATCTTCTATTTATCGAATATTTTTCTGTCAAAGTGAGTCTATTTTTATCGTATTATTTATTTCCTCTCTCTTTCTCTCATTAAAAATTAATTAAAATCACCGGAGTTCCCGTCAATGTTTACCGAAATTTTATCCCGAGATGGAGAACTTTCGATGGAGAGAAAAAGAGAGAGAGAATGAAGGAGAATGCGTCGCGTTTAATCTGATCCGACATATCGACGAAACATTTTCAATGTAGCATGATTCCTTGCTTTCACAAGTTCCTGATTTTAATGTCGCGGTACGGCAACGCGTATAAGCCCAGTGCTAGTTATCTGGAAGCTATTCTGATGACGTTGGAACGCATCGAAAATGGACTGTTCAAGCTGCCCGAGCAGTGCGCGACTCTGTTTTCTCACAACCTGAAACATAGTAATCGTCATCCTTCGGCTTTTGACGACGACGACGAGGTACAACGTTATTAATATTATTTTACTAAATAAGTAGCAAAGTATAATTATTCTCTTTTTACAACGACATTTCTATAATATAACTTCATTTCGCGTCTATTGGTTCCGAAAGATATTTTCCCGTGCAGTTTTTTGATAATCAACCATTTAATTTTGAGCTTGAATCTGAAGCTTTGGCTTAGCCAATATTGAGCCAATCACTATATCTGTGATTCATAAATTTCCTTTAAAAGACGTCTCGAAAAAAACTGTCCGGAGTAAAAGAGATAAAGACCGAAGTTTTACTGCCTTTCATTTTTGCATTCATTCGCTTGCTATTAATTTAATTATTCCGAGGATATAAAACGCATCAATTGTTTGTTAATCACATCGCAAAAGAATCGAAGCTGGAGTCCGTTAGCGCAACTCATGAACTTAGCAAACCGGAGGTCCATGAGCCGCTCCGACGAAGATGACGACTACCAGGCAATACGAAAGCCGAAGAGACACAGAGCGTTGAGCCGTAACCAGAATTCCAACCTCAACACGAACGTCAATGCCAACTCCAACAGGTATCGTGTCGCGCATGTTCTTATAATTTCATGTAAGAAATTAAAAAAGAGAAGAGTTAAAATAAATAAATAAAATTTTCAGGGCGAAGTTTGAACTCAGCGACGAGACAGTGTGAAATAAGTGCGGAAAGGAAGCTCGAGGGAATATCGCGAAGTTTCATTTGCGAAGACTGTCGCGTCCGATTCGCGGCAAGATTATGTGTGTCATAATAAAATGATATAATCGACGGAAAGTATTGTCTTCTTGAACGTACCTTTATCAGTCGCGCTCTTGCGAGTTGGCTCGCAATTCTCCTCGAGGAAATTCACTACGAAAGGAGTGTACAACGGCTTTACGTTTCACTCATTCCGTATACTCGTAACCCGATGTAATCTTTACTTTTCTATCCTTCTTCTCTTAATAGACTCTTCCCGCGAAATAAATAACAATAACAATGATATCCGTGCGCGTACGTGCATGGCAGGAAGAGGATTGGAAGTTGCACAAAAGATCACCACAGCCGGTGTACGTAATCATGGCACCTGCCGTTTATTAAAAACAAATTCGATAGTAATCGTATAATTACAAACAATAATAATGACAGTATAATTATAAAATATGCTCGGTCTAGCATTTTTTATAACGCGTTTGTAGAATCAGTCTTAACCCTCGGATTACCAAGATACCATATCCCGCTCGCCAGAGCGTGCTGCTGTAACCCTCCCTCCCTCTCCCTCCCCTTGCTCCGACCCGACCCACCCCCTCGTTCCCGTTCGACCTGCTCCCCACGACCCGCCCCTAGATTTTCTAGTCAGAAAAATAAATTATCTGAAGGTACTTCGTGTGTGCCTGCTCAGTGCCTGAGGAAAATTTAAACGACCGATAACCCGAGGGCTAATTAAACTATGAGACGTGCTAGAGGTATGTTACAGTGATGCAGAGGGGTTTCGTTTTACGTAATCGACAAAATTGACTCTTTGCACCCTCAAAGAACAAAAACATCATCGGGCCGACGACGACGACGACGACGTTCCGGCGCTTCCAATTCTTTCGAGGATTCCCTTTTCCGGTTTTTCTCGTTTCTTTCCTTTTTTTTTTCCTTTTTCTTCATTTTCTTCTGTCTCATTTCGTGTAACGCTGCGCCGCGCCGCTCGAGGTTCTCGCACTTAGATTTATATATGTACACGCACGCGCATCTCTGTATGTATGTATGTATGTGTATGTATGTATGTATATATAATATATTTATATATTTATATATATATATATATATTCATATATATATTTATATTCATTCATTTGTTTGTTTGTGTTTATTCATTTATTCGTAATATATCATTATTTATTTATTCGTTAGGCGCACTCCACGGAAACGAGTTGGCCCTTCTGCGAGTTTCTCGAATAAAAAATAAATGTGATCCATGTTCGTTTCGCCGGAGTGCTGAGATCTGCTGGGTGTGTCGAGCGACAGTCTCTCGTCCTTTGCGACGTAAAACTAGCGAGGGTTGGATAAAGCGCTGCCACGGTGTCCCGGATTCCCTCCCTGTCGCGGGAAGCCACGGGGGCCCGCGAAGGGACACCGGGGTGCTACGTTCTCCCATCTTTCCTCATTTTCCGCGCTTTCTCCCGCTCGATCTCGCGACGCGCTCGGCGCATAGGCGCTTTTCCCTTCAACCCACCGACGGACCGTCAACAGTTCGCCTAACTGGAATTTTGATTATCCGCGGCGCGCAAGCTAATGAATACGGAGCGAAGAAACGGTCTCGGGATAAACAGCCCGCGACATCCTTCGATCCTTTGAACCGTAATTCCTCCGAGGATATCTTATATGCATATTTCGGAGTAAAGAAATGATATATTTCATTTCTTCATGGATTATTACGTAAATACTTCGAATCGAAATAAACGAATGCAACTTTTACACAGAAATACTCTAAATTCTGCCAATTGCGTATATTCCGAAGACCTGAAATGAATATATTCCCTTTACAGCGGCATTACGGGTTCAAAGGGTCAAAAAATGACAGGCTATTACTAAAGGAGAACGACGAGAACGAGTTTACGCGCGTCGAAGTCACTTCGGACCGTCGAGTAATGTTGGAGGGTTTACGGTATTTGTACGTTGTTCTATATACATCGACACTCTTCCTCCCGCGAGCTACGGAGAGTAAATACGGCAGTTCAAGGATTACGTGATACAAACGCGATGGATTCTATCGGAGCTGGCGCTTCGATGTGCTCAGAGCTCCCCGGGAAAGAAAGATCATGAAACTTGTTTCTACATGACTATGTATAATTATATATATAAATAATTATATACGTCCACAAAGCGAAAAATACAAATTGTATGCAAATATAATCGAAGTAAATGCTTTTGGCAGCACATAATGTCGTCGTTTAATTGAATGACATAAGATCTTTTTTTTTCTTCGTATGGACATGTATGATTATGTATGATCATATGTGGACAAAATTCATATATAACTTATATATAATTATATACAATTATATATAATTATGTATTATTATATATATAATATATATAATAATTACATATA